GTCATATTTATCAATTTTTGCAATTTTCAGGAATTTTTGCAATTTTTGCAGTCTTTAGGAATTTTTGCAATTTTTGCAATTTCTGCAATTTTCAGAAATGTTTGCAATTTTTGCAACTTTCATGAAGTTTTGCAATTTTCAGGAATTTTTTTCAATTTTTGCAATTTTCAGAAATGTTTGTAATTTTCAGGAATTTTTGCAATTTTTGCTATTTCTGCAATTTCTGCAATTTTCAGGAATTTTTGCAATTTTTGCAATTTTTAGGAATTGTTGCAATTTTTGCAATTTTCAGGAATTTTTGCAATTTTTGCAATTCTCAGGAATTTTTGCAATTTTTGCAATTTTCAGGAATTGTTGCAATTTTTGCAATTTTCAGGAATTTTTGCAATTTTTGCAATTCTCAGGAATTTTTGCAATTTTTGCAATTTTCAGGAATTTTTGCAATTTTTGCAATTTCCAGGAATTCTTGCAATTTTTACAATTTTCAGGAATTTTTGCAATTTCTGCAATTTTCAGAAATTTTTGCAACTCTCAGGAAGTTTTGCAATTCGCAGGAATTTTTTTTTAATTCTTGCAATTTTCAGAAATTTTTCTAATTTTCAGGAATTTTTGCAATCTTTGCTATTTCTGCAATTTCTGCAATTTTCAGGAATTTTTGCAATTTTCAGGAATTTTTGCAATTTTCGCAATTTCTGCAATTTTAAGTAAATTTTTGCCATTTTCAGGAATTTTTTGCAATTTTCAAAAATTTTTCACTCAGGAATTTTTGCAATTTTTGCTTTTTCTGCAATTTTCAGGAATTTTTGCTATTTCGGCAATTTTCAGGAACTTTTTCAATTTTCAGAAATTTTTGCAATTTTTTATATTTTCAGGAATTTTTGCAATTTTTGCAATTTTTGCAATTTTTGCAATTTTCAGGAATTTTTGCAATTTTCAGAAATTTTTGCAATTTTTGCAACTTTCGGGAAATATCGCAATTTTCAGTCATTTTTATCAATTCTTGCAATTTCCAGGAATTTTAGCAATTTTCCGGAATTTTTGCAATTTCTGCAATTTTCAGGAATATTTTCAGTCATTTTTGCGATTTTTGCAATTTTCAGGAATTTTTGCAATTTTTGCAATTTTCAGGAATTTTTGCGATTTTTGCAATTTTCAGGAAATTTTTGCTATTTTCAGGAATTTTTTGTGATTTTTGCAATTTTCAGTCATTTTTGCGATTTTTGCAATTTACAGGAATTTTTGCGATTTTTGCAATTCTCAGGAATTTTTGTGATTTTTGCATTTTCAGGATATTTTGCGATTTTTGCAATTTTCAGGAATTTTTGCTATTTTCAGGAATTTTTGCGATTTTTGCAATTTTCAGTCATTTTTGCGATTTTTGCAATTTTCAGGAATTTTTGCGATTTTCAGGCATTTCTGCAATTTTTGCAATTTTCAGGAATTTTTGCGATTTTTGCAATTTTCAGGAATTTTTGCGATTTTTGCTATTTTCAGGAATTTTTGCGATTTTTGCAATTTTCAGTCATTTTTGCGATTTTTGCAATTTTCAGGCATTTTTGCGATTTTAGCAATTTTCAGGAATTTTTGCGATTTTTGCAATTTTCAGGAATTTTTGCAATTTTTGCAATTTTCAAGAATTTTTGCAATTTTCGCAATTTTCAGGAATTTTTGCAATTTTCAGGAATTTTTGCAATTTTTGCAATTTTCAGGAATTTTTGCAATTTTTGCAATTTTCAGGAATGTTTGCAATTTCTGCAATTTTCAGGAATGTTCGCAATTTTTGCAATTTTCAGGAATTTTGCATTTTTCAGGAATTTTTGCAATTCTTGCAATTTTCAGGAATTTTGGCAATTTTCAGGAATTTTGGCAATTTTTGCAATTTTCAGGAATTTTTGCAATTTTTGCAATTTTCAGGAATTTTTGCAATTTTCGCAATTTTCAGGAATTTTTGCAATTTTCAGGAATTTTTGCAATTTTCAGGAATTTTTGCAATTTTTGCAATTTTCAGGAATTTTTGCAATTTTCAGGAATTTTTGCAATTTTTGCAATTTTTATGAATTTTTGCAATTTCTGCAATTTCCAGAAATTTTTGCAATTTTCAGTAATTTCTGCAATCCTTGCATTTCCAGGAATTTTTGCAATTTTCGGGGATTTTTGCAATTTTTGCAATTTTCTGGCATTTTTGCGATTTCTACATTTTTCGCAATTTCTGCAATTTTCAGTAATTTTTGCCATTTTCAGGAATTTTTGCAATTTTCAAAAATTTTTCACTCAGGAATTTTTGCAATTTTTGCTATTTCTGCAATTTTCAGGAATTTTCGCAATTTCGGCAATTTTCAGGAACTTTTGCAATTTTCAAAAATTTTTGCAATTTTTGATATTTTCAGGAATTTTTGCAATTTTCAGGAATTTTTGCAATTTTTGCAACTTTCAGGAAATTTTGCAATTTTCAGTCATATTTATCAATTTTTGCAATTTTCAGGAATTTTTGCAATTTTTGCAGTCTTTAGGAATTTTTGCAATTTTTGCAATTTCTGCAATTTTCAGAAATGTTTGCAATTTTTGCAACTTTCATGAAGTTTTGCAATTTTCAGGAATTTTTTTCAATTTTTGCAATTTTCAGAAATGTTTGTAATTTTCAGGAATTTTTGCAATTTTTGCTATTTCTGCAATTTCTGCAATTTTCAGGAATTTTTGCAATTTTTGCAATTTTTAGGAATTGTTGCAATTTTTGCAATTTTCAGGAATTTTTGCAATTTTTGCAATTCTCAGGAATTTTTGCAATTTTTGCAATTTTCAGGAATTGTTGCAATTTTTGCAATTTTCAGGAATTCTTGCAATTTCTACAATTTTCAGGAATTTTTGCAATTTCTGCAATTTTCAGAATTTTTGCAACTCTCAGGAAGTTTTGCAATTCGCAGGAATTTTTTTTTAATTCTTGCAATTTTCAGAAATTTTTCTAATTTTCAGGAATTTTTGCAATCTTTGCTATTTCTGCAATTTCTGCAATTTTCAGGAATTTTTGCAATTTTCAGGAATTTTTGCAATTTTCGCAATTTCTGCAATTTTAAGTAAATTTTTGCCATTTTCAGGAATTTTTGCAATTTTCAAAAATTTTTCACTCAGGAATTTTTGCAATTTTTGCTTTTTCTGCAATTTTCAGGAATTTTCGCTATTTCGGCAATTTTCAGGAACTTTTGCAATTTTCAGAAATTTTTGCAATTTTTTATATTTTCAGGAATTTTTGCAATTTTTGCAATTTTTGCAATTTTTGCAATTTTCAGGAATTTTTGCAATTTCCAGAAATTTTTGCAATTTTTGCAACTTTCAGGAAATATCGCAATTTTCAGTCATTTTTATCAATTTTTGCAATTTTTAGGAATTTTTGCAATTTTTGCAATTTTCAGTAATTTTTGCAATTCTTGCAATTTCCAGGAATTTTAGCAATTTTCCGGAATTTTTGCAATTTCTGCAATTTTCAGGAATATTTTCAATTTTTGCAATTTTTGCAATTTTCAGGAATTTTTGCAATTTTTGCAATTTTCAGGAATTTTTACAATTTTTGCAATTTTTGCAATTTTTGCAATTTTCAGGAATTTTTGCAATTTTTGCAATTTTTGCAATTTTTGCAATTTTTGCAATTTTTGCAATTTTTACAATTTTCGCAATTAGGAATTTTTGCGATTAGGAATTTTTGCAATTTTTACAATTTTCAGGAATTTTTGCGATTTTTGCAATTCTCTGGAGTTTTTGCAATTTTCAGGAGTTTTTGCAATTTTCAGAAATTTTTCTTATTTTCAGGAATCTGCAATTTTTGGTATTTCTGCAATTTTCAGGAATTTTGTGTGGCATTCGGTAAGAAAATTTCACACCAGACTTTGTTTGGAAATTAAATAATCAGAATTTATTTGTTCATTTGATTTGCATACAGTTTCATAAATAAATTTAGTTTGGGTCGCAGTTTCGGCACCAATAATAGATTCCTGATTTCTACCTATTATATTGGCATGAAAATACTAGTTTAAAATGTAACATATTTTATTCTGTTATTTTATATTAACTTCGGGATACTACAAGTGATAAGAAATTATAATTTTGTCTACTAGTCTGTCATACTAGTAGTAGAGAAAGGGGAGGCGTTCGCCTAGCAAGTAGGCCGCAGTGAGCACGTCAAGTGCACATAATATCCATTATTCCTTCTCCTAATTCTCCTTTTCGAACCTCCGTGAATTTCTGATGGAGGTTAGTATGTCCGTCCACCTTAGTAATTTGATCTTCCTGTTGAAGCGTATCAGTACCAGAGTAGTGGTATGTCATTCTATACCGGGTGTCCCAGTATACCTGTTCCAATAGATTATCTCAGCCATTTCAAAAGATGAAAATTTGGAAATTACATGATCTACTGAAATCCTAATAATTTGAAATTATCATTGAAGTCAAAATCAAGATTACAAAAATATCGTAGCCTACTACGAATCGGTCAATTTGAAGTTTCAATTGTCGTTTTCTCCATTAAAATCAAATTTAAAATATGAAGTGTGCTACATCGTTGGAAAGGTAATTTTAGGTAGAAATAAAAAATTGCAAAAAATATACAGGGTGCTATTTGAAATAAAAAAAATAGAGTAACTTCTGGTCAAACCGGAAGTGACTTTCAGTTTTTGTTTCGCTCAGTTGAAGCTTCCTTGAACGAATTGGAGATCATGAAATTTTCGAATTTTTATTTCTCGAAATGGCTGAGATAATTCATTGGAACAGGTATACTGGGACACCCGGTATAATAGATGCAGTTAGGGCATCAATGGATTCTTAGCCTATTAATTGTTGATTTCTACCCAATTGAATTGGCACAAAATCACTATTTTAGGACGTCAAAATATTATTCTGTCATTAAAACGTCATAAAATATTCGGATTTCATACGCTGGTGGGTACCCACGAGAAAAAAAATTCGTCTAAAATACATACGTTGCTATGCTAATTTGTCATAAAAACCCAATTTTACTGTACAAAAATCACTGGTGTGGAATTTTCTTTACAATTTGGAATTGAAATAAGAAATGAGGATTCACATTGAAAAAAGTGACCCTGTATCATCGAACATATTTGTTTTTCAGGTGGGTTTGGAGAAAAGGATCTCTCCAGATATGCTCCTAACTTACATGACTACGGGAGTATTATTACAAAAAATAATCAGGAACAAATCGTTGCAACAATATACGCACATCATCATCGACGAAATTCACGAGAGGAACAAAGATTTGGATTTTTTGTTGCTGATCGTCCGGAGATTTTTATTCACTAATTCGTCTAGAACGAAGGTATCTTGAACGACATTTTTCCTACTATAGTGCGTAAAATGGGACTTTTTTTCCCACGGCTCTGGCACAAAATAGCGCTGTAGTGACAATTGGTGATAATACTAATTTCTGAAAAACTACTACGACGAAATGCGTAATCATCATTCGATCGAGTCACCTGCAACTGTTCCAAATTTCACGTCATGTAAGATGTCTGATTGGAAAATATATTTGAAAAATCATATCCTGTGACCTTCATCTGTTTTCTAGGAATTTCAAAAACCGTATTTATCGAAATGAAAGCTCCCATTACGTTTTAAATGCGAAAATAACGGTCAATTCAGGTTCTTAGATGTTTTTGTAATCAAAATTGCCAGAACCTTTTTGGAAGTTGATGTTTTTAGAAAGGAAACTAACACTCTAAACACTTGAATACATAACTAATCAATCCAATCATGATAAAAAAATGCAATGTTGAAAGAGGTGTTGTTTATTCGCGGTAGTCAATGTCATCATCATCTGACGTTGCGATGACGTTAAAACTGGGGGAAAATATGTTTAACATTGAATCTATGACAGGAAATGGGAATATCTTCCTCCAGCTTTAACGTCATCGCCACGTCAGATAATAACCTGAATGGTTTTGATATCAAAATAGTAGATGAACTAATTCGTAGACATAAATTCAAAGGAAGAATAAATCTCAACATCGTGTAGATGATTTTGAGATTTATTCTTTCTTCAAACACTACCACTCCACTTTGAGCAATATGGACTTCTTCACACGTTTACATAAATTTAGGTTGGTCCTTCGAAATTCCACGACTTTTCAAGTGGATACAAACAATTCGAGAAGAAGAATGCCAAAGCCGATCAATCCCAAGTATATTAAGGGGTTTGTTAAGTTTTTAAAAGACTCAAGGTTTTTAAAGTGTATATCAGTCGGGGTCCAAACTAGGCAATTTATTAGGCAATCCGGAAGATGAAGTGCTCTTACTTGAAACGTCAGGAATGTATGAAATTTGTTGTAATGAATGTGAAAATACATATGCAGTTCTTTTCTTTAATGCCCCCCCTTTTAAATTTTGAAATGGTCATTGAAACTTGGGATAATGAAATTAATGCATGAATACTATATTTTGGAGCAAAATTGACAGATGAAAATTTCAGGCATTATCAAATGCTCCGTCATTTTGTAGTAGGTGAAGATATTGAATTTATATTCTATATTTCTTAATTTTTTCCCAGATGGCGCCCAATTGACATCTTGGAATTTTCATCTGTCTATTTTACACCAAAATAAAGTATTCATGTATCATATTCATTAGACGAAGTTAAAATTCTTTCAGTTGGCTCGTTCAAACAATAAAAGGGGGGGGGGCATAAAAGAAAAGTACTGTATAGTCCAAACTAGGACATGTTCGAACGTTCTATGAAATTGTAGGTGTATTTTTGAAGAATCACAGCTTATTTTGTCGACCTCTGGCGCTATTTTGTGACAGAGCCTTTCCACACGGTTTTCAGTTTCGGAAATAGGCTTCTTCAGTACAAGGAGTTTGTGTTGATGTGTTTTTTGTTTTTTAGATTATACTAATGTCCGCTACTATCGAAGCTGAACAGTTCGCGCATTACTTCAGATGTCAGAGTTATGCTGCGCCCATAATTTATGTCAACAAAGAGAATTTCTATACCAAAACCACTTTTTACTTGGAAGACATCGATGTTCGTCCTGTATCGGTAAGTATAATTTCTGAGACATACTCAAAACATCTCAAAACTACTCGTCAATGGCTTATGTAGTTTTGATAACAATGGCTTTGCAAAATTACTTGACAATAATGATAATTGCTGATAATTTCGGGCAAAAAATTAAGCTTTTGGGATCACACAAAATACTCTTTGACATCCAGAGTTCCGAATCTAATTCATTGATTGTCATAATGTTTGATTAAAAATATTTAAAAAATTTAAACTCTCTGAAATGACGTTTACTTCCTATATACTAATGTTTCGTCTGTTCTTTCAATAGGTTCCATCTGAACCTTCCCCTTATAGATAATCGTTCTCATTATCATCGATTTCAATGGTCATTTGAGGCATTGTTGTTCCAGATCTAAATTAAGTAGGCTCAATTCTGGGCCCTACTCTATTTTTGATTTATGTAAACTGAATGGCTAATCTCGATCTGAAGGTAAGGATAGAAAAAAATAAAATTGTATGCAGGTGACACATTATTAATTCATTTTGGTGACACAAAGGAGTCCATAAGAAAATCTATTGAACATGATTTAAAATTGATAGCAAACTGGCTAATAACACATAAGTTAACTCTCAATACGGATAAATCTAGTTATATGTTCATATCCAAACGAAAAGCTGTTAATGATAACACTCCAATTATTTTCAATAACCAGACCCTGAAATATTCTGCAACCACCAAGTATCTTGGTATCTATATTGATGAAAACCTGTCATGGGAATTCCATATTAACAAACTCATAAAAAAATACAAGCACCAATAGGCACACTGAAAAGACTCAGCTATTGTCTTCCTAAACATTTATTGAGATCAGTATAACTTGTTTGAAATTAAACTGAGGAACTACCTTTAAAACATGTAAATCGCTTATGTGAGAAAATGCTTCACCCTTAAATGTTAAATGTTTTGCTAACTCTAGTGTTGTCCAAAGTGTATAGTATGTATAATATGTATTATGTTTATGACGAATTTTGCCACTACCATTACCATATTACCATTTGACTGAGTAATTGTAAATTTGTATATACAGTATTATTTTCCTACCAAGCAGAGAAGCCTCTGTGGAATCTTTGTATTCTTTTGGCTAAAAAATAAAATATCCTTATTCTTATTCTTATATATAGACGATATTTTGAGTAATCCAGTGACCTCTAATGGCTCTATTTCGAACTAAGTCATTAATTCGTCATCCTAACCCTAGAATTTTTTCGTATTCCTGTTAAGATCCACCTTTCTGTCTAGTTTGTAAACGAAATTTCTCATATTGAAATATTTTAAGTATGAACATTGTTACTTAATGTATAATTAACAATAAAACCTTTAGTTTTTTTTTGAGAACTAAAATTGAGGCCAACATTCTGAAAAAAGATTCTACGATTTGCTCAACATTGGTCAACAATAGCCATCTAAAAAAAGGCCTAAACAAAGGTTTACAGGTTCAAAAATTGACCTGTTCTGTTTTGGATGACAGGTTATCTCCTTCTGAATAATTGCTTGCGAACTGTATTCCCGGATATCCTCCCTGGGTAAGCACGATGTTCTTCGGACATTATAGAGATTCCTTCTCGTGCGCACCAAGCGATAAAAACAGTAGTTTTAACGAAAATGTATCTTGACTTCGGGCAACTTTTTGGTGATTTGTTAGTTTCTCGGAGAAGTGTACTCTGATATCTGAAAGAAGTTTTTTATTACACTTCTTTGAAATCAACTTGTTTTCATCTACATTAGTAATATTGTAAGATAGGCTTTTTCGGGCTATCGCACGGAAACAGCGCACGGAAAAACTTTGAGAATAACCATGGAAACGAATCATACATGCCAAACACTGTATTGTCAGCATGTTTATTCTCTGTCAATCAAATTTATGCCGATAAATCATTTCCGACACGAAAAACGTTATTTGACGACGACGTGAGTCATTTTGACATAGATAAAAAAGCTTTCACCTTTTTTATCGCTGACGAACTGCCTGCTCCTTTGATCTAGTAGCTATTTGCGCCTGATGTCACTCAAATTTCTGTCGTGTCAAGTTTGATTGATAGGTAAGCTTCACCAGTAGATGAGCCGTTTTAAGAAAAATATTCGTCTGAAGAAACCACGTAAATATGAGAAAATAAATTCCGCAAACTACCAGTTATACGGAATTATTAATAAAGATAATCATTATTGTTGTTTATTTGTATATTGTCGTTGATTTATCTTGCCAAAAAACACTCGAACTTTTTATTTCAATTGGATAAATTTCCTTATCAACTCAAATATTTCCCATCAGTTATTTCTCTCGAAAAACTGACATTAGACAAAATTTGCTCGACCTAGGGTCCCGCAATCTTTTCATTTCAGTTTTTCTCGTGAAATTACAGATCGGCAAATATTTCTCGTTACCAAGAGAAATGTATGGGATAAAAAAGCTCTTGTGTTTTTACTGTGGACAAAATGAACTGTGAAGAAAATCCTAAAATTCACGATAATATCCTAGAGCAAGCAGCACAAGCGACCGCGAATTTATTACCAGTGAAATCCAGGTCTAGTATTTCCAAGTATTTTCATCCCTACAACTGTGAAAATAAAAATTTTCCAAGTTTCTTTTGTGTCTTTTTGATGTAATATTTTATTATTATATTTTCATTTCATCGAAGTGTAATAAAAAATATCGTTCATTACTCGTCCAGAATAGTAATTTACGTAACAAGTCCGGAAAATACTGTTTTTGGACGTGTTAAGTACACAATTTTTTCGACAACCGTGTAGAATAACAAATCAATGAGACACATTGCCATATTATATTTCTTTGTAGAATACAATTTCTGCTTTATTAATTCTTATTTGTATCAAATACTGAAATTCATACCCACTAACTGTTACATTGGAAATTTCGTATGGACATTTTCAAACTCACTATCGCTGTTGCTTTCGATAGTTTATTGCGATTATTGCAACCAAACTTTCAAAAATCAAAATTTCAAATAATTTCATGACAAATAGCTGTCAGCCGATATTTCGCTGCTATGCTAATTATCATCTGCACATATCAGAATAAGATCAGAATCAGAATATTCTTTGGCTATATTCCGAATTCAACTGACACTACTGAATCTGCTGATTTTTCATTCCGAAATCAAAAAATTCACTGAAAGTGACAGATGCTTGTGAGTAGACATACTATTCATTCCAAATATTTCGACTCAACATTCTGCTGAAATTGCTGACTATCGAAAGGTAGTGTGGCTTCAGTGAACTGTCATTATTTCAGCGGGGGAAGGAATGTAACATTCATTTCCGTTGTTAATAATATATTATTTATTCTCAATATCAGAAAATACCTGTTATTGATATGATAAGTACTGAGAATAATAGTGAGTATGAAGTAGTAGAGCTAACGAAAGAAGAAGCAGCATTGGCTAAATAAATAACTAAATAAACCTGAAATGTCTCCTAAATTCATCATCATTTTCTATAAATCTTTCAATTCTCAATCTCGTGCATCATTCGAAATTAATGGCAACAAAATCTCCAAGTATTCTTTATCACTCGAGCCTGAATCTGAATCGTCATCGTCAATAATCGTAGAAACTATGGAGGCTACAAGAATCGATTGCACTTCCATGTTAAATATTAAATATTAAATATCTAGTCCAGATAAAATACAGACTGACAAATTTCACCAGCTGATCAACTAATGAAAACCATGAAAACGTGTCCCGAATTACAGCACTGTATTTTTGATTTTATATTTCGGAACACAGATTTTCAGCAGATTCAGTGGATCTACTGACAGTACTGACCAGCTGAATTCGGAATATAGCCTTTATTGTCAGAAGAAACATCTCTTGTAGACAAAGAGAATATAAAACAAAAGTACGTAACATACAATAATAGAAATTTAAAGCAATGTGAAAGATAAAATATGGCATGAGAAGGATCATCATGTGGTATAACGATTTACATTTCTGAGATGAATACTAAAACACATCACTATAATATTCCTTTAATTCATAGTAAGCCTTTTCAGCAAATAGCTGTTTGAGACTCTTCCTGAATATTTTATGATCTTTAATGTCCTTTACGTAGGTAGGTAGGTGGGTTATACATCTTCAGTCCATTATATATAACCGAGTCTTTGATCAGGGTAGTCGACGGTAAAGGTAATTTCAGACGATTTTGTTGCCGAGTTATCAAAACCATATCTACCAAGATTTTCATAGTAACAGTGACAACAAAGATGTTGATACTTCTCGGCCTAGTCCGGGAAGTACGTACTTCCCGGACTAGGCCGAAATATGCTACTTTCTCAAAGAAAACGCGTCCGGGAACTGAGCACTTCCCGGACGGTTACACGCGCACGGAAAAACCCCTATTTCCAGACTCGTAATGAAATATACTCATGTGTCATGTAGGATGGAAGTAATTTCGAGCTCGACAAGCCTGAAATCTCCGAGGATATGTGGAAGGTGTTCACCCTACTGGTAGCCATCCTTTGGAAGTTGGATGCCTCGAATCCCCTCACCAATCAGAAAATCATCGGCAGCGTGTTGGTGTTCCTGCCCGGTATCAACGAGATAGAGGTAAGTCCATCGCTAATTTTTCGTTTATATTCATCAACAGTAAAAAGAGTTCCTGTATGTATTTAACAGTTTTGCTGTAACAAGAGTACGGACACTATGACAAGCTGTGACAGGAGGCATAACCCTAAAAAAATTGATTGGAATGACATGACCCTGGATGGGAAACATTGAAACACAACCTCACTTTTCTTATTTGTGTACAAGTGATTGAAATAGTTTTTGACAATTGTGTTGGTATAGGTCGCGTGCACGATGACCTACCCTGGAGGCAAAATATTGAAACACAACCTCATTCTTCTGTAAATAATTGAAACACAACCTCACTTTTTTATTTGGTTACAAAGGGATCAAAGGATTGAAATAGTTTTTCACGATATTTTGGCATACGAATCGTGTTTTTTGCGCTATTCATTAATTCAAGCATGCCTTCGCAGTGTGCTGTTGTACAATGCACAAAAAATGCAGCAGGAGACTAAGGAATATTATTTTTCAGGTAAATAGTAATCTCACATACTTATCATTATGAAATGTTGTCATTCCTTATTAAAATTCCTTCTGCCTTCTGCCACTCCTGCATGTCTACAACACACACGATCGTCAGCATGTCAGACCAGTCCTCCCGATTGATTGCATGAATCGAATCTTCTTGCATTATTTTAGAAATTCCAGGTGTATTTCTATTAGCTCCTATCGCAGAAGGAATTCCGATGAGAAATCAGAGAAATTACCAAATTTCAAAAATGAAAACTATATGTGAGTGACTATAGTAGGTACTTACTTTTAAATCATAATGTACCATCCGGATTCCTTCATCTTCCGCTGCAGTTTTTGTGCATTTTACAACAGCACAATGTGATGGCATGAGCGAATTGATGAATAGCGGAAAAATACGATTCGTATGCCAAAATAATTGTGAAAAACTATTTCAATCACTTGTAAACGAATAAGTAAAGTGCCGTTTTTCAATATTTTGCCTCCAGTGTCGGTCATCTGACAGTTCTTGCACGCAACCCATACGAATCGTGTTTTTCGGCTAATTATTAATTCGCGAATGCCATCACATTGTGCTGTGGTATAATGCACAAAAAATGCAGCGGAAAACGAAGAAATCCAGTTGGTACATTATGATTTGAAAGTAAGTACCTACTATAGTCAGTGACATCAGGTAATTAATTACTTCAAAAGAATGATAAAGATGCCTGCAAAAATATACCTGTAAAAAACTTCAAATTTCGATCACTTCGATAATGTTCTGATTTCAATATAATATATTCTCAATATTGATGGGTGGGTCCATTTTCCTGTCACAGAAAAAAATAGTGTATTATACACGGGAAAATATTAGATTTTAGCTCACGGCTACTACTACTTTTTTCCCTTGTATAATAAATAACTATTTATGCCCTAAGAATTATAGCAAGAAGAAGATTTTTGTAACTGGACTTCAGAGGGATGTATCTCCCTGGAAGATCTTTTTCAAAAAAATTATAATTTCCGTGCCGCTTTATACAGTGTGATTCACATAAGAACCGACATAGAACAGGGGCATGTAGGGGGTCCCAAAATATGGCAATTTAACGCAACTTACCTCTATACCAAGTTACTTCCCTAAGAAGATATAGGCTTTGAAAGTGAAGTCATAAATTTTGAAAAAAATAATATCTCCGTTATTCTTGAACTCAAAGCAACCAAATTTGGTACACTTTGTGGATGTATTTAGGGCGTTACTTGACAGTAACTAGAGTTCAATTGAAATTTGTAAAGGGGGTATACCGGGTGGCGCACCATTAATATTCAACAGAATTTTGTTTACCCTTGATGGATTTTAAAAATCTTTGTTTTGTGGGAAATTCAATTCTTAAACTTTTCTTAGTCTAGTAATTTCTCGAAAAACCTCATCATTTCCATCAAAAACTCGAATAACTGAAAACGCGTGCTCTAGGTGTGTTATTTAAAATCATCAAAAATTCAAAAGTTGGCTATGAAAATAAACGTCAAACTTGACAATGTAGCAAGTAAGTTGTTCAATTGAGTATTTTATCGATAAACAATCGTTTGTTCTGGTTGTTGTTTAAGTTTTTTGTGTTTATTTTGGTTAGTTGTTAATCCCAGTTTTTCACATTTCAGTATCTGTCCTTACTTTACGTATTTTGTTACGTATCTAAATAATAATTTTCCAGCCAATTTCTACTGATCACAATTAATTACCTACTTTCTTATTGTACGTTTATTTTTATAGCCAACTTTTGAATTTTCGATGATTTTAAATAACACACCTAGAGCGCGCGTTTTCAGTTATTCGAGTTTTTGATGAAAATGATGAGGTTTTTCGAAAAATTACTAGACTAAGAAAAGTTTTAGAATTGAATTGCCCACACAACAAAGCAAATATTTTTGAAATCCATCGAGGGTTAACAAAATTCTATTGTTTATTAATGGTGCGCCACCCGGTATACCCCCTTAAAGTAACGCCTTAAATACATCCACAGAGTGTATCAAATTTGGTTGCGTTAAGTTCAAGAATAACGGAGATATTGATTTTTTTCAAAATTTATAACTTCACTTTCAAAGTCTATAACTCCTTAGGGAAGCAACTTGGTATAGAGGTAAGTTGCGTTAAATTGCCATATTTTGGAACCTCCTACATGCCCCTGCTCTATGTCGGTTCTTATGTGAATCACCCTGTATTTTGAAGAACCATGATAAATTAATGCTAATATAGCCTGAACCACCCTGTATATTAGCTCGCTTATTCCTATCTAATGAACACTTCAGTTGATGGAAAATACATCGAACCATTATTCCTAATAACATAAAGGAATTCATCATAACAAATATATGGATTTTGCACTATGTTCTGCTCTTTCAAGAAAGCCACGAAATCCTGGTAATCAAATAATTCTGAATCCGCCCCTGGCATGGTCGCGTCTTTACTGCGCATGCTCACATTTGCCGTGCGAGCCACGTTAGGGAACACTCGAATAGAACGATATTGGCCTTCTAGGTCTTTGAGTTCTGTGGTAATGGGGAAGACCACTGGGAGAAGAAATCCGTTCAAACCTGTTTCAATCGACGAAACATGATTTTCGTTTTATTTACAATCAATATTATGAGTTGAAGTAGAAGGGAATCGAATCTATATATCGTTTTGAAATCAGCATATTTCATTCGATATTTCAAACAGCCAAATATGATGGTAGAGTCGTGACGTATTAGTCCCGAACTGTAGCTATCTCTCTCTGATACCTCGTCATTCTGCAGTGTTGCAGTGTGATTGGTCAGTTCAAGGACAATAGGCGTGTTGGGAATAAGACTTCGCACCAGTCACACCAATGAATCGACAAAATTTCAAATGGCGCAGGAATTGTGTGTTTTGAAATGGACATATTCTAATTTATTTTTTCCATCGTCTTAGCATGAATGACGAAATTCAAAATTAATTCGCTGGTAGTTTTTCAGTATAGAGTTCACGATAATGTCATTTTAAAAAATCAGTGGTCTTCCCCATTACCCATTAGAATGATGAATCAAACTAAGCAGCAGTCTCGTTATAGAGTTCATCGTGTACAGTTGTCAAATTGTTTAAGAGTTGTTTTCTCTCTGAAATCTGTAATGAATGAACGTACATAGGAGGCGCACAAGCGACTGCTGAAGCACTACGAAGAGTTGCTGCGCGACAGCTCGGCAAGTACCACGGGCGACCCCAAAACCAAGTGGGAGATCATCCCGTTGCACTCGTCGCTGCCCAATGACGAGCAGGCGAGGGCGTTCAAGCCCGCCAAGGCCGGCAGCAGGAAGATCATCCTGTCGACCAACATCGCCGAGAGTTCCATCACCGTGCAGGACTCCTACTACGGTAAGGCTGAGGTGTCTGGCTTGGACCAATCAGGATCTCGCTTCGTTCAAATGGACTACTAATTGCATATGTTAACAACTAGCTTTTACCGATGGCTTCGCTCGCTTTGAAGCCCCTTATAGCTCAAGACAATTAGGTTTTCAACATAAAATCTTTTATAACTAGCTAAATATCTGCATACGTACTCATAACACTAACAGAACTTTATAAATATTGTTACAATCAAGATGTATACAGTGGCCTTTGGAAATAGCTAATTAACTTTTATTGTTATCGTTGTCAACCATCTGTTTATTATCAAGATAAAATGGTTTTCTTGTTAAGTGAAGAAGTTTAAATAAATACTTAGGAAGATTTCGTGAAAATAACATGTAAATTCGACAACGTTGTAAATGATATTTTTAGATGAGACTTGCCAACAAATTTTTAATAAATCAGTTTTCATTGTCATAACGCTACGATTTCTCGAGATATTGAAGTTTCGTGATATTTTTTAACGAAATGTTGAATTTCCATATCAACAAAAATTAAGGGAATTAAAATTTGATATTATAGGGTCATAGTAATTCGAACATGACAAATCGAATGCGCTGAAAATATACAGTGTGACCCACTTCTAATGGAACCACCCCTGTATCTTACGTAATCGTTGGGTAAGGATCCTGAAGTTTGCTGGAGCGAGAGATATACCAAAAATGCACTCTATGACCAAGTGGGGTCATCTTCAGTGATATACACTGCTCGCCAACAGCCATGAAACCACCCCAATTTCCGGAAAATGATATTAGGAGTCAAAATAGGTTGAAAATCACTTCAGATTTGGAATCAGGATGCCCAATTTACTAACTATTCAAATTTTTCCTGGAAAATTTTCAGTTCGGAAAAATGAAATTTTGTCGCATTTTTTATGGAAGCGCCCCCGTATCTCACGTAATTATTGAGGTAGGGTTCTGAAATTTGCCGGAGGAAGAGAAAGTCCAAAGATGAAGTCAATTACCCGAGCAACGGGGGTGCTTCCATAAAAAATGCGACAAAATTTCATTTTTCCGGACTGAAAATTTTCCAGGAAAAATTTGAATAGTTAGTAAATTGGGCGTCCTGATTCCAAATCTGAAGTGATATTTGACCTATTTTGAATCCTAATATCATTTTCCGGAAATTGGGGTAGTTTCATGGCTGTTGGCGAGCAGTGTATATCACTGAAGATGACCCCACTTGGTCATAGAGTGCATAATTGGTATATCTCTCGCTCCAGCAAATTTCAGGATCCTTACCCAACGATTACGTAGGATACAGGGGTGATTCCATTTTAAATGGGTCACACTATATAGCATTATATTTGAAAAAATAAAGTTGAGGGATCCATAGGAAAAACTGTAAATCTGGCAACGTTGTAAATATTATTTTCAGATTTGGCACTACTGATAACCCCCGTATACCAAATTTCATATTTTTATGTCAAGTCGTTGCTGAAATATTCGACCGTTCCGGTTCTTTTGGGAAACCCTGTATATCATGGGAGCAAACGTTCATTTCCTCCCATGTGTGTTTAATGCCCTCCGCTACGCGTCGTGCATCAAACATCACACGCGGGAGGAAATGGATACCTTTCCTCCCTTGATATATAAATAGCTATTATCACAGCACTGATGAATATCCCGTTCTTACTCAAATTTAAATAACATCAAAAAATCGAGAATTGTACATCCTTCATCGCGATTGTTCTTTTTTTCAGTGATCGATTTTTGCATGACCAAAGTGATGACCGTCGATCCGATCACCAAATACATGAGCCTCAAACTAGAATGGGCATCTCATGTCAATTGCGACCAAAGGGCCGGTAGGGTGGGCCGAATTGGAAACGGCAGAGTGTATCGGCTGGTGCCGAGGTCCTTTTACCAAGTAAGTCCATCGTTTCATTCTACTAGATTTTTGGGCGAGTGGATTTTTTTTGCAATTGCATACCTCGTTGGTCCCAGCACTGGGACCAAACGCCTCATAAGTCGAAACTTGTGCGGGGCTAGGTATACATACAAACACAAATATGTACATACATCCATGGTCTAACTAGGATTCGAACCTATGTCTCAGTGGGAGTCCCCATACGCACTCAGCGCCTTCACGCTCTCGACCACCGAGCCGCCAATGATAATGAATTATTGGCATTCGACTGCTGCACTGTGTCATTATGAACCTAAATTAATTTTTGCAACACTGCTCACGCTCTTTTCACCTAAAAGAATGTGTCTATGCGTTATTCAAAATTGTCATGGCCGCCATTTGGCGGATACGTCGAATAAATGGTGACGTCCAGGTGCGTCCGCAGAAATAATCTCAGGGAGGGGCAAGTCACAATAAATAATGTACATTATTCAGAACATATAAAAAAAACTGTTTTTGCACGACCTATAAGCGATTTTACACCGACAAAAGCGGGAACACAGGGTATACAGAGTAGGCACTCTCTGGGCTGAAAAAATTTCCGGGATTTTTCTGGCAATAAATCTACCACTATGTTTGCAGCAGCTTCTTCAATAGTTCTTCCACAAATGCCTGCAATATTTTATTGAAAAAAACTTTGGAAATCAATTAAGAAAATATGCTACCACACTTTTTGGATGTTCACAAAAAGCAATATGGCTACTCTTCTTGATCGGTACCTAGTCATGATAATCAAACTTCATTTTGTGATTATTGTGATCAGATTTTCATTATCATATTGACAATAATTGATTTTATCGTAAGATTCTTTCAATTAAAATCGTCGAGTTCTGCAAAAATGGTATATAAACCTCGGAAGTGAGTTCTTTCTTCCCTTAGTGCATTGTAGCATCCTCTGGCTACAAAACCACCTCTGGAAAAATCATGCACTTTACTCTCTCGATATATAATCTACAATTATTCTACATAGAACATGGAATAAAAAAAAAAGAATATTAATTGAATTGACATCACATAGGTATTCTGTTTACAGCCAAAATTACAATAAAAAATTGCACGTGATGATAATCATAATCTTGTTGAAACAAAAATGGCATTCTTATAGAGTCTTGAGCAAATTTATCAATAACTTCGTTGATATAAATAACTCTTTATATATCTATAAGATGTCGATGAATACTGATTGAACAAAGTCTCAGAAAGTCACTATAATAAGCGATCATCAGAATAGGAATTGAATAATGCAAATGTATCTTGTTTAGAAAATATCTGATGAGTTGAGACCAGGCGATAGGGGGAGGGCGAGCGCCCCCCCCTCTTGCCTCCCCCTCCGGATGCCCCTGGTGACGTCAGTTTTTATGCTATTTAGTTATTGGTCAGATAATCTTCCGTTTCCACTCATGAAACAAGGTTGTCAAGTCACCAATTATAATCAAGTTATCAAAGAGATGTTGGAGTCCTGCCATTGAATAAAATATAATAGGAGGAACCTATGATATTATAGTTCATTCTTGACTTTTACGAGCAACCAACATGTCGAAATATTTCTTATTCTCTATAACAAAATATCATGTGAATGTTTGAGACTTGGCTACATTGGGCTGAATCCATTTCAGAGGACTTGACGTTTGAATCCTTGTCAAATGTCTGAAACCACAATAAAACCTGAGTATAAAATCATGCCATCAGTATCCTAATTTTCGAGTGAAAACTCATATTTTAGGATGTTCAGAAGAATGCAAGCAAATTCTTTGATTCCTCGATTCTGATTGTTATCTTCTTTTCCTATAATTCACCACGTGCTCAACTGCTAAATCTCATAACTAAGAGATCTAGGATGAACAGAGTTGCCCCAATTGTCAGCAGGAGCGAGACAGTACTGTTTCGACCCACCAGGTCTCATCAGCTGCTCTCGGTCTGCTGACAACTGGGACAACTCTACGCTTCGGGTATATCACCCATTTCGAAGACGCAGGGTATAACATGAATAGGAGGTGGAAAAATTCCACTCAAGTATCAAGGTTGGTAGAACTGATTATAATTTGTATAGGAAGGTTGCCTCGATCGATAGTGCGGCAAGGGGGGAAACGGTCACTCGTGACGTCACAGGCAGTAAGACGACAAGTTGTCAACCTTAAGTGACATGTCATGAAATGTTTACCAAATAGAGTATACAAACATGATACAAACTTTTTGGTCTGCTCAGCATATTTATATTAATTTATAGTATATAATTATAAGTAAGTACCATTATAAAATATGGATATTTACATATACTTCTGTATAATACCTTCAATCTTCGAAATGAGAAGGCAATTTTGGATGGATCAGTAGTACAGAGAGGAATACCTATCTGAAATTTTGTTCCAGGGGCTATTTACCAGGTCGTGGTACCAGGTATGTGTGTTTTGAGGTATGGAGCATAAATATGGAGCTAGTGATTACTTATGCATTGATTATGAACCTACTCATCCTATAAATATCCTGCAAATCAGATAATGTGAACAAGAAACTACAGAAAATATAAGAATAATCAACTGATGATCCAGAAGTAGTAGCAGTGGACCAATATTCGTACACAACAGATCACTTATTTTATCAATATAACTCTGTATTCTGAAAAATTAACAAACTTTCCTAGATACCTATAGAAAATACAAGAGGAAATAGTATTTCATTGTTTTATTATATTGTAGTCAAAAACAGAGCAATTGATCGAAGTATTTGAGCATAAAAAAATAACAAAATATGATTCTGAACAAAATCAATGAAAAATAACACTACTATTATAAGTGAACCTATAATAAAGGATAGTTCAAGGAATCTCTCAAATAAACATAGCTCCTCTTCTTCAACTTGAAAACACGTGTGATATCTTCTGATGTCCATTTTACCCGTTCAGCAAGAATCTCAACATTCACAACTGGTCTGGTTCTGATCATTTTTCCAAACTTCCATACTTATGGTGTTTATCTTGTTGTATTTGGTATTATTGATGGGATTCCTACCTTGAATTTTCTTCTCTTTGGTGTGTGATTTAGCAATTCTGCTTGTGCCGTTCAAAATCCTCGGCATCGAAATGGGCAGAACATATTCGCCAAGTTTTGGTATTAAATGAATTAAAATTACGTCCACAAAATTGAATCCATTTCTCACGAATAGACTCATCTTATGGAAATTAATGGAAACACAAACTAAATTCACTAGTCTCATTACACTTGCACGAATTCTAACAAGAAGTGACCGAACAAATTATCATTTTTACATTTTTAAGTTCAAAATGGTTCAAATAAATATTCGAAAATACTGACAACAACTGTCAACTCAATACATGCGCCGGCCAATCGCCGGCGTACATATCATACACGAAGTGTACGAGAGTGCTACACTTTTCGTGCAAAAGAAAGGGCCTATTACGTCATGAGTTACTCAAGGTTACTCGCGGGGTGCGATCGAGGCAACCTTCCTCTACAAAATAGTCATCAGTTCTACCAACCTTGTCAAGTATGTCAGGCAGTGCCATCTGTCAGCAGAGTGGTTTACTTGTAATACCACTCTGTAGCGTATAGACGTAGGGGTCTGTACGTGTGACTAGATGGCAGCGCCATACAGTGTGTGTCGCGATCTTTGTATCCTACCTTAGAGCTTTGCCACAAGATGGCTACAACATGACTACAACTTCATGCTATACCCCTGCGTCATCACGTGCTGTCTACTTTTGATGAGAAGGCGAGAGTGTTTCAAAATATATTGGTTTTCAGTATAAATTGCCGCGGAAGAGTATTCCCGAGATAATACGAGCACCGCTGGAGACTACGGTCCTTCAGGCCAAGATGCTTAATTTGAACGACTCACCTCAGCAGATACTAGCTCTCGCTATGAACCCACCGAATTTGAAGAATATTGAGTTGACCATACTCAGTCTGAAAGAGGTAAGAAATACTGGAAAACTATGGGATTAGAGCCACTGGATGGTATTGTTAGATAAGAGTTCGGACACAGAAATGACAACTGTTAGTGTTTTTGAGTCTTTGAATTTCAATCAAGTTACACACCTTGCATCGTGGTAAGAGCACCATAGTCATCCCGCGCTATTTCATTCAAAATTGTTCGATTGTGACAATACATTTTATGAATCTTTGGTAGAAGTCCATGTTTGCTCAAAGTGGAGTGGAATTTTTCAAAAGGAAGAAGGAGAGCTCAAAGTCATCTCCACTACTTTATTACTGATGTAAATCAATCAAGAACATGTTTCTAACCTCAGGTTGGATTTACCACGTTTTTGGCTTTTGGCCCCATCAATTTTAATTGATTTTTTGATTTTTAGTGCGCTTTCTCAAGGGTACGGGACCCTTTGGTTTTTTCCTGTTTGCAACCTAATATGGTTTTTATGAGCATCTTTGAGTGCTCGTCAAGTTTTCCTTCTGGGACTTGACTTTTGGTGCGCGTTCTTGGGATACGGGGCCCTTCATTTTTAATAAAAATCCGTTTTTTCTCAACCCCTTTATTCACCAATATAACCACGATATTATGATGATAGACATCGGCATCCAATTTGAAAAATTGTTTCACCTCCATTAACTTCTAAAAACGGTTGAAGATGGACTTTTATAAGTCTGAAACATGTTTCCTTGAATGATTTACATTAGTAATAAAGTAGTGGAGACGACTTTGAGCTTTCCTTCTTCCTTTTGACATTTTGTGCACGTCAGAATTGAAATATGATGTCATAAACTATTAAGAAAAAAACAACTGAAAATGTCCAGGGACTCTATTCTCAAATGGTGAGATATTTTGTCGCATGCGAGAATTCTACATTAAAATACATACAATATTTTGAATTAATAATACCTCAGTTCACTTTTGAAATCTTGTAAAATTCACCATCTTGATATTCCTCGAGCAATCTTCCTTTCGGCAGACAACGGAAATCCTAGGACTCATCGCCATTGTTGCCAAGTTTCTTTAGCGCGGCTTGAGAATTCAAGAAAGCTGTGACTACAAGGTACCTAAACTACTCAACACTAATTTCGTCGCACACCAAAATGTCGCCCCTGTTATAATACGAATAACTTTTTTCAGTTTAGAACAATTTGAATTTGGTTCTCACTGTTCGATAGCCCAGTCCTTCAGCTATAATCTCGTACTTCATTGAAACATAAGGGTCCTCACATAAGATCTCTACATGGTGTTTTCCGACACTGTGCAGAATTTCGGAATATTCAAAAGGCTCTCAAATGGTGAAAAAAATGTTTTTCTCAACTTCGACAACAGAGGCATGAAGAGGATCTCATTACCTCGAGATATTTCGCGAATCAACTTCCTATCTCTCTTATTTACAGAGTGATCTCAAAAAATCAACTTTTTGGTTTTGCAGCCATAACTTTTTTTCACATCAACCGATTTTGGAAATCTTAGGCTCATTTTGAAGATGAAACTTCAGATGAAGAGATCTGGATATCAGAATTGACTCAAGATGGCTATCAAAGATCTAGAGTTTCCTTGAAAGTGACCCAAATCTGGAACGCCCTCCGTATCTCGGTTGGGAGGAGAATTGAATGAAAATCAACTTGTTCTCGGAAAGACAATTCATTCTGGATGCGTCCATATTCTCCTCGCTCTCAGTATTCAAGAATGTGCGTGAGAAAACACAATTGAAACATGTTCTTGCAAAAACATCAGACCATTTCTCCTCTGTAATGCATGGCCCGTAACCAACGTTACAAGAATCACAGTAAGTGACTGACAAGTCAGGTTAGACGGCGTTTTCGAATCATAAACAGATTTTGATAGTTTCGATGCCGCATCTAACGCCCGACCAGTTGGAACTGATTCCACAAATGAGGGAACAAGGGTTATCTTCCCTTCAAATCGCGGATCTGCTAAACACGACAGTCCGATCCATTCAAAGGGCTCATCACCGACACGAATTGTTTGGTTATTACTGTCGATTCGTTCAGCGCATTATTGCGACTGAAAACTTTACGTAATTGGCAAACTGTTTTCGTGAAACTTTCACCATTTTTGAAATGCGTTTTCACAATAAATAAACGTTGTTTGCTTGAATACTTCTCGATATTCTTAAATCGCATGTTATGTACGTGACAACTGTTAAAAAAATCACTTTATTGAAAAAATCGAAATCCGTTGCTCTTGTTGGTACACCATTTATGATGAGCCTCAGCTTGTCGGGTTTGTCAGTCACTCATTGTGATTCTTGTAACGTTGGTAACGGCCGGCCATGCATTACAGAGGAGAAATGATCTAATGTTTTTGCAAGAACATGTTTCAATTGTGTTTTCTCCCGCACAATTCTTGACTACTGAGAGCGAGGAAAATATGGACGCATCCAGAATGAGTTTTTTTTCCGAGAATAAGTTGATTTTCATTCAATTCTCCTCCCAACCAAGATTCTAAGGGCGTTCCAGAATTGGGTCACTTTCAAGAAAACTCTAGATCTTTGATAGCCATCTTGAGTCAATTCTGATATCCAGATCTCTTCATCTGAAGTTTTATCTTCAAAATGAGCCTAAGATTCCTAAAATCGGTTGACGTGGAAAAAAGTCATGGCTGCAAAACCAAAAAGTTGATTTTTTGAGATCACTCTGTAAATAAGAGAGATAGGAAGTTGATTCGCGAAATATCTCGAGGTAATGAGATCATCTTCATGCCTCTGTTGTCGAAGTTGAGAAAAAATTTTTTTTCACCATTTGAGAGCCTTTTGAATATTCCGAAATTTTGCACAGTGTCGGAAAACACCATGTAGAGATTTTATGTGAATACCCTTATGTTTCAATGAAGTACGAGATTATAGCTGAAGGACTGGGCTATCGAACAGTGTGAACTAAATTCAAATTGTTCTAAACTGAAAAAAGTTATTCGTATTATAACAGGGGCGACATTTTGGTGTGCGACGAAATTAGTGTTGAGTAGTTTATTTCTAACATCAACTAGTATTGCAAAAATCAACATATAAACATGACTAGTCACTGATTTTCAAATATATTCCACATAAATGACACATCAATTCACTTTTGAAATCATAAAAAAAATCGTTGATATTCTCCTACCGTACGTCTTTACAGCTAACAAATGACTTATTACCATCGTTGTCAAGTCTCTTGGCACAGCTTGGAAGGATACGGTGATTTTAAAGGTATAATTCACGTCTATTTTCAGTAACAGTTATGGCGGAAAAATATTTATTCAAGTTGATTCCGATTTCATGGTTTGTGATAGAACCTTAACACATTAACGTGATTATTCACTGGCTTTCAACAAAATATCACATGAATGACACATCATTTCACCTTTGAAACCTTGAAATAGTTCACCGTATTGATATTCTCCGACATGACTAACAAAGGAACCTCTACGACGTATTGCCATTGTTGCCGAGTTTCTTCAGCACGGCTTGGAAGAAGGCTGTGAAGGTATTACTCATGTTGATATATAATTAGTGCAGCATTAACAGCCTTACAAAAATAATGACTGACAACTGTGACCTCATGACTTACTGCCATTGTTGCCAAATCTCTCCAGCACGGCTTGTGAGTTTAAGAAGGCTGTGATTCTACAGGAAGGTCTCACGTCCATAACCAATTGATATGGCGTATGGCATAAAGATCCATTCCTGATGGGATGATTGTTCACGTATTTTGCAGATCGGTGGGTTGCTGCAAACTTGCAGGGGCAAATTTTCCGCATCCGACGGGGACATAACGTTTTTGGGAACTGTGATGGCTTCCCTGCCTATCGACGTTCATCTGTCGAAATTGATCGTGCTCGGACATCTGTTCAGTTGTCTAGAAGAAGCTATCATTATGGGTAAGAATATACTTATGTGGATAGTTTCATCTTTTACCAAGCTTTACAAATAAAGAACCATCTTGAACTCGTGACACTGATGTTGATTATTTGGATTTAATAATGATAATCATAATACTCATAGGTCTTTATTAGGCGAAAGTTTAGTATAATATTATTCTTACACTTTAACCTAACGACTAATGTGATGAGCATAGATATCAATGTAGCATAAAACAGTAGAACTACAATTTGTGAAAAGAAAGAAAAAAAAATAGCGGAAAAAAATTCTTGATAAATGTGAGAGATAGATATACATAGCTTTTTATCATGAGTTAAGGATAATCTGTTTGGTTAGAGGAAAGATAGATTCATTGAGTTATTTGATTTTTTATCATAAATTGATGATCAATTGTTTGGCTAGAAGGATTTTTTTTAGATTTGTCTTAAATGAACTTACTGACATTCTCTTCAGATGGTCATCTAAATTATTATAAACATGATGACCTCCGTAGGCGAAGGAAGATTCGAATCTCTTTGTATGTTGTGAAGGAATATGAATACGAATATTAACATTATAGAGGTGCCCGCGAAATCTCAATTTCTCATAAAGATAAGATGGAGTTTTCCTTGAAATGATTTTATGACAGAACGTAGCAAAATGTAAATAACGACGAGACTTCATTCTCAACCAATCTAATTTCGCAATGGTCTCAGACACGTGATCATATTTTCGTAAGTTTAGTTTATATCTATAACAATTGTTTTGAACTTTCTGAATCCTGCAAGCGTCAAAATTATTAATATGGTTACCGTAAACCACGCACAATAGTTGAACTGGGATAATATTAATTGATCACAAAGCATTTTCTTCAAACTATTTTGCAAATTATATCGATTGGCATATAACAGTCTTAAAGCATCATAAGATTTCTGCAAACACGTGCTGATATGGTCCGAAAATCTAAGACCTGGATCCTAGATTTGACTCAACATTGCTTTTTTCCAGCTGCTGGATGTTCAATTCAGAACATTTTCTCAATACCATTTCAACAGAGATTCAATGCTTACAAGAAGCTATTGTTATGGGCTGACGGGTCTTTTAGTGATCTTATTGCTCTGCTGAATTTGTATCAGGTATGTATCAAATCGGTGACATTTTTGAAGGTTCAGATTTTCAATTATTTTATTAGCTTTCCAAATATCCTTGCATGGTTTTATAGTCTTGAAACAAAAAAGGAAGTCGAAATTTCACGAGAGCCTATAGTTTTCGAACCATTCCTAAACCTCATTGTCAGATTGGTCATAGTGAATCACGTGATACATTATGGACGCATGCGCTTGTAGGAAAAACTAACGATGCCCTCGGGGTCTCGAGAGAAAGGAAAAACATCCTTGTAAGCCTAAATCACTACACAAATGATCACAGTGGGCTGACGCCATGCTAGTAGTGGACCAGAATAAAACTCCCTGACCTTATTTTCTATTATTTTGTGTTTTTAATGAGTTGATTGTGATGTTATGATACGGACTTTATTTTTTTAAAGGTTGGTAACGTCAAACTGTCAGGTAAATGTCATACATGATGGAACTTTGTAGGCGTTAAAATTCATTTGACTCATTTTTCACTTCTGAATGATCCCAAAACATATGATATAAAAAAACACACCATTGTATGAAAGGAAAAATATAGAATAGTATAATATGTAACAAGTGTTGTAAACGTCCTCTTAGAAACGAATATTTTAAGCGACTTCGAACATAGCGTTTGGCGGCGCCAGTACTGACGTGATAATCCCTTTTCCTGTGTTGCCAGATGTTTAATCTTAAGGAAATATCAAGTAAATATTTCTCAAGTTAGAATCGATCCTACTGTGAACTGGCGAGATACTTTGATATTCATTGATGAGGAAAATTTCATCAATTTAGTATGTAGTATGGTGTAGGGTTTTTCCTCATTTCCAACTAATCAAGTTTATAGCTGACATGATTAGTAATCGAGTAGGTTGGAACACGTTGTAGCTTCGATCAGCAGCGACGAAATTTGGTCTACACCTTGGAAAAAATCGTGCATTTCTGTCCCTTGACGTATAATGTACAATTTCTATTCGTATCGTGTGCTTTTACTACCAAGGTACTTTTCGTAATTTTATGAACCAGTAGTCAATAATGACGTAGTCACCTCTGATACTATTAACGCAAATTCACTGTTCTCATGTGAGATTCGCAGGAATGGCACTTGAATCTAGTAGGTATTTATCAATAACGACTTGTGATATGCTGTCACGGTAACTAAATTTCAATTAGAATTGAAAAGAAGAGCTTTCATAGAGACAATAGATCTATCCATCCATTCATCCATCCACAAAATGTAATATACACCTTGGTGTATGAATAATTGATTTCGTATACAGAGTGTATTCAAATAACACCGAAAAAATTCAAGGAGTGATTTCTTGTGATATTTTATCAAATAAAGGTCATATAAACATTTGTCTAACTTGCTTCGTTTTTGAGATACAGGATGTTGAAGTTGGAAGTGTAAAATGTTTTTATTTATAGCCCCCCTGTAGAAGCTTTCATGGTGCCAAATTTCAGTATAGTTGGAGACTGACAAAGCTCCAAAATTTCAGAATGATTCTAATTGAGGTTATTGAGTAATAAATGGAAGTTTTGAATACAGCTACATTAAAGTTTGGAGTCAAATCGAATTTTTATTGTTTCCTCAAAAACTGAGCTAGATGCAAAAATCACACAGAATTAAAAAGTTTATATTTAGATAATCAGATGATTTGCCCGTAAATGTCATTGTATTTAAAGAATTCTTCTATCACAGAGCCTAAAAGAAAAATGCAATAGCGTATCAGTGACAATTCGTATTGATAAAGGTTTGGAGAAGAGAAATAAAGGTATATAGAAAAATATCAAATTTCTACTTATCTTGGGACGTTTCGGGAACGAATCTATATATCAATATACCTTCATTTCTCTTCTCCAAACCTTTTTCAATACAAATTGTCACTGACAAGCTAGTGAATTTTTATTTTAGGCACTCTGATAGGATAATTCTTCAAACCTAACTACACGTATGTTGAAATAGTATTCATATTTTTATTTTGTAGAGACGAGGAGAGAAAATCACAAAAAAATCTGGAATAATGGATGTACCACCTCCTCGATTAACCTACAGACAGTATTGATACCCTGTATCTCGAAAACAAAGCAAGTTAGGACACATCTTTATATGAACTTCATTTCCTAAAATATTACAAGGATTGAACCCTTAAATTTTTTCGGTGTTATTTAGATGCACCCTGTATAATATTGTCATGGTGGTTGTTAGGTGTGGCAATCGTGCAAAAGGGAGAACCACTTCGACAGCTTCCAGAGCGAGCTCAGATGGTGCTCCATGAACCTGGTGAGCCTGAAAGGGCTGAGGGAGTGGAACCTGTTGGTGATCGAGATCAAACAGCGGCTCGACTTTCTGAACATCAAGTCCATACCGGGACAGATCCATCTCAAGCACGACGAGAAGCCTCTCATCATCAAGGTAAATCGGAATTCGGTGGTTATGAGCCTTTCCAGCCATTTCTAGGAAAATACACTCACCGGCAAAAAAAAAACCGGCCACCAAATAATTTAGCCAAATTGTTTGCTCTGTAACTTTTTCAATTCTGGTCCGATTTTGGTGAAATTCCGACCAAATCGTAGATCCATGTTTCCAAATGTTAGCCCAAATATTTGTTCCTAAGAAAATCTGATGACTCGATCATCATACAGGGAAAAACGAAAGTTACTTTTTCACCCTAAACTTCTTAACGCCCTGTGGGAAAAGTGAGTGGTTTCAACTCAGCTTCATTATGTTTGAGATTGAAGAGTGATCTCTTCTCTACATCATGGTTTTTTATTCACGTCGATAACCATTTTTTAAAGGAAGATACAAGTGTTTCAAAAGAGTATGGATTCTGTATTTACAATAATTCAGAACCATTCTCCAACCTTCTGCTTCAATGCTCCATCATGTTTTAAATTGAAGTATGATCCTCTTTTGTTCCTTCTTGATACAACGGTTCTTGAATAACGCCAATATCTCCTTTTTGAGAGAAGATACAAGTGTTTCAAGAAAGTATAGATTTTTTTAAGCTTCAATAACAATAATTCAGAACCTATCTACCTATCTTAGGGGTGACCTCTAGAGGCTCATTCGCCTTCGCCCGGCCTTGTCAGATACTCTTCAAGAGCTACGATTCGCCCTTCAAGGAGGATTTCAGGCAATTCTTCAAGGCTACTTGAGTAATTTGATCAATTCGATGCCACTTCGGTTGAATGCTGTAATTCAAAATCGAGGAGAGCATACTGACTACAGGTCTGCTTCTTGTTTGTTTTTTGTAATTAATTTTCCCGTAAGTGCTAAGAAAGTGAGGTAGAAATATGTGATATTAATCCTTGAAGTTGTTAATCAATAATTTCATGTAAATTCTGATTATTGGTAAAAAAGGTTGAAAAACGCCATACTTCCTTAAAACACTCGTATCTTCTTTTGAAAATAAGATATTGACGTGAATCAAAAACTTTTGTCTTTAGAAGGAATCACACTTCAATCCGAAGCATAATGAAGCCATGTTCAATCACGCAATTTTGCCACAGGGCGTTGAGAAGTATAGGGTGGTGAAAGAGTAACTTTGGTTTTTCCCTGTATAATGATCAAGGCATCAGCTTTTCAGGAAAACTGATATTTAGGATAACATTCCGGAACATGGATCTACAATTTGATCGAAATTTCATAAAAATCGGACAAGGATTGAAAAAGTTACAGGCTGAAGAATTTGGGAAGAATTTTTGATGGCCGGTTTATTTTGCCGGTGAGTGTATATCTCGAAATATGTATATGACTCTGGAAAACCTTGAACTTTGAGAATTTTTTCCTTTAATTCATCGTATATTGAAGACGCCAAAATGAACATCGTAATCGCAAGTCTCATAGTCGCAAGTCATAAGTTTTAAGGAATGGAACATTGATTCATGTGAAACACCTAATCGTAATAATAATATAATAATAATAATAATAATACATTTATTATCCACAAAATATATAAATAGTACAGGGTACGGAATATATCAGAATTCAAGTAGATAAATGCCAGTGCCAGTGAAATTGAAGAAATAAATTTGAGAAGCAGATGATAGCTTAAATGTAATGAAACGATATTTTGAAAGAAAATGATAGGAACCAAGAGGGAGAGGAAAAAAGTAGAGAGCGAGAAGGAAGAAAGGAAAAAGATAGGGAAAGTGAGTAAGATCATTTCTGCGTGGACAAAAGATACTTTCTAAATTAGAATTACCGACAACTTGACCATTTCATTAAAATTGCCGTACAGGAATGTTATTAGTATCATGTATCTGGTATGAAATGAAAGCTCACTGTATTTCCCATCAATTTCCAACAAAAAAAACACAAATTTAATGTGCCCGGAAATCGCCCGGGCGCATTTAATCAAAATGCCGGGCGTAAATGAAAGCGCCATGCATAAACCCATCTCTAATAATAATAATAATAATAATATTGACTTGGTATTTGTGGTAGATCATCACAGCCGGAGCTTTCTACCCGAACTTCTTCGTCCGAGCGCCCGATTGCGTCCAGCAGGATGAACGGGAGGCGGTCAAGATGGTGGGCGGTCGCAATCCCTTCCAATCGGTCTATTTCACCGGACTGGACCCCACGCAGCCGGGACCACTATACATCAGGTAAATGATGGAATTTGGCGCAGTCGTAAGCAATTTATAGTCATTAGGCGTTTTGAGAAACTTACTCGGGTTGAACGGATTCCTAACCTGAACGTTCGGTTACCTAAACCAAATCACCTTTTTTTATGTTCTGGATCCCACGAAAAGGGATATCCTGTAATGTTCAGAGAGCATCCTGAGAACCAAGGGAAATAAGGTAGGAATTGGTGTTCTTCTTAACTTTATGGAGGTTATATGCCTCGGGGAACACCTCCCTTGGATGAACGAGTCTTTGGAAATTGATGTCCTGCAGGTCTCCAAAGTGACCACGAAGGGGTGCGAAGCCTCAACTCGAGTGGTTAATCTCGCGGAGACTACCAAGGGAGGTACAATTGTTGATATTTCAGAAGAGTATCGTCCATGAAAATATCTATAAAATAGAGCCAGATCGATCGTGAACTTTTCTACGGTGTTCCAGAGAAGTGAGTGAGTTTGTGAGCGAGGCACCACCCACGAGACGAATTGCCCTTTTTGGACAGAATCCGTTTTTGGGATGCACTTTGAGCAATTGATCTCACGTGATTTTCCCAAGAAAGGTTATTGCTGATAGTAATACATTGTTGTTGTTGCCAAGTCCATATTTATGTTGTTAACATTTCTCCCTTGTTCGTTTCTGATTTGCCTGGCTGGTATTGGAGTTCTGGGAGAGAAGGTGGTATGGAGTGTACTATCATCCGCGAAGCTGTGTACTGGAGATGAAGTTGCTTCCAACAAATCGTTGATATGGAGTAGAAATAGTGTTGGTGCTAGAATTGATCCTTGCGGAATACCAGCATTTATGATAAGAGGGGCAGATGAAACTCCATAGACCACTACATGGAGAGACCTGTTTGAGAGAAAACTAGCTAGCAGCATAGGAGGCAAGCAATAAGAATCTTGGCGAGGAGTCCGTGGTGCCAGACTCGATCGAATGCCTTGGAGATATCAAGTGGTACCTCTGTTCGGAAATTTGAGTGTTGCTAATTCGATCACTGACTCGGGTTGATTTTTCGTGACCCTACTCAAAAGCAGGGTCGCCAAAGTCGCGAAGGACACCGCATGCGCATTACCAATTTATACGAAATTTTTGTCAATCGAAAAACGCGGGAGTCTACCACTCCACGGTAACAAAATAATTATTCACTATCAGTCCAGTAGCACATTGAATATTGGTTATATTGAATCAATGGACTACGCTCCAAGTTGCGGACCTTAAAAGCTCTATCAAAATAGAAGCAACATTATGGAAGTTTAATTAATCAAATAGCTTCATTTTGATGAAATCTGATTATTGGAGTCTACTCAGCTCACTAATAGAAGTTATTCAGAAGAAAAATTAATTTTTGTGAACTCCAGTTCTGATTAGTTGAAAATTATGTTGATGCACCTGCTTTCATTCTGAAATATGTCATATCGTCGTCAATTTTATTACTTGTCACATTTTTGTTACATATTTGAGATCATTTCATTCATGGACGACACTATTATTTAACATTATTTGGTAAAGAGGTTTGATCGTTGAAGTAGGAAGTAGGAATATATTTCATTTGAGTGCTGAAAATCGATCCGGACATGACTTAGTAAGAATAAAATGATGAAGTTTCAACCTTCTGAAATGAAGAATAACCCAAGGAAGTGTCTTTGAGTGGATGAAAGAATACCTGTTTGGAAACGAAGTAATCACAGTCGATATCTTAAATAAAAATACTAACATACCTATGTAATAATAAGCGTTTTCCTAGTAAAATAATAACAATTGGGAAAATAAATCGTTCAATAAATACTTTTCAAGCTTACATAACTCCACCTTGGATAAAAACTGGTCAAAGTTTCCAGTAATAGAGATACATATTATCACAAATGTCGGACTACAACAATATCAAAATATGATACCTTTATTCAAATAATTAGACACAGATAGTTTATTGGTAGCAGAAATCACAAGACTATTCGAATATCACAATATTTATTATAGCATGATTACCTATTATGGATAGTGAGGAAGTATGAATGATGAACAACAATAAATATTATGATCTGATAACAATATGTTGATTACCATTACGACGAGTCGAGAGTAGCACCAGACCAGATAATTTTGGAACCCTCACATCCAGTTTATTATAGCTTAGCACGTTCCTCATGAGATTTTCTTGATCATTATTCGAAAGTTCGAACGCGATTCGAACTGATTTGATATAACATTTTTTTACTCGTGACACTATTGAAAGTATTGACGTACCGCAGATGCACCAACATGATTTTCAACCAGTCAGATGTGAATTTAACAAAAACTTATTTTTCTTCTGAATAAGTTTCATTAGAAAGCTGAGTAGACGCCTACAATCGAATTGCACCAAAATAAAAATTGAGTAATCAAACTTTCATAATATTGCTTCTACAGAGGTAGAGGTTTTTAGGTTGGCAACTTGGAGCAAAGTTCCCCCATGGAATGCAATTTAATGGTCATCGATTGGAATCCCATGAGGTGTCAACTTATTGATATTTTAACGTGAGCAGAGGGGGGTGAAACAAGGCTTTTCATGGGAATGTATCACATGTCCGTATTCCAGTTAAGTAGTGGTCGCCAAGTTAGCTTGTAGATTCTGGTGGCATTGTTCCAATTGATTCCATGATTTTTGTAAGTAAGAGATTTAAAATGCTTGACTCTTGATATTGTTTTCTGTTGGACTTGTTTGTTATGTTTGTTGAAAGTGAGTTTGTTGTCAACCATGATTCCCAATATATGTTGCAGAATGACAGAGAACGACACAGGTCTTGATGACAGCTTGAAGATCTTCAGTTAAAAAAAACCGTTTATTCTCGATGTGGTATACAGGAGACTTGGCTATAATATTTGTTCTTGTTGTTGTTAGATAAAACATGTTTCATTTCGGTTCTAGAACAGAGAGAGGCAAATGCAGCAAGTATATGTTGGTGGTGGTTAGACGGTCCTGGCTCAATTCGAGCACAGCTGTGCATTTATAGGAATTGTCTTAGCATATCGAACGTTCCATTGCATTTTTCTTTCTTTGATTGTGTTTATCCTTGTTTCCGGCAGACAGATCAAGGATCTGTTAAAGAATCGCAATAGATTTCGATGGCAGCACGAAGATATACGTGGAGTTCAAGAACAAGGACAGAAAAAGACAGCAGGTGACCGTGTCTGTGCATGGTAGGTCGGTTGTCACATACCATTCACGTTTGGTCCTATAACAATATATAGGTCGTTAGATGGTCCTCTCAGAATTCCAGCACAGTTGGGCATTTATAGGAATTTTCTCGGTATATAGACTGTTCCAGTGACTTTATTTCTTTAATTGTGTCAATCATCATTTCTGATAGGCAGATCAGGGATCTGTTGAAAAATGAGTGAGAAAGTGTTGTGGACTGACAAAGACAGCAGTATACCGTGTCTGGTGACTGTCTTACAACAATATGTAGGTGGTTAGACGGTCCTGGCTCAATTCGAGCACAGCTGTGCATTTATAGGAATTGTCTTAGCATATCGAACATTCCGTTACATTTTTCTTTCTTTGATTGTGTTTATCCTTGTTTCCGGCAGGCAGATCAAAGATCTGTTGAAGAATGACAGAGAAAGCGCCTTATACATCGCAATAGGTTTCGATGGCAGCACGAAGATATACGTGGTGTTCAAGAACAAGGACAGACAAAGACAGCAGGTGACCGTGTCTGTGGTCACATACCATTCACGTTTGGTGCCTGTCTCTTAACAATATATAGGCCGTTAGACGGTCCTGGCAGAATTCCAGCACAGTTGGGCATTTATAGGAATTTTCTCGGTATATCGACTGTTCCATTGACCTTATTTCTTTAATTGTGCCAATCATTATTTCTGACAGGCAGATCAAGGATCTGTTGAAGAATGACTGAGAAAGTGCTGTGGACTGACAAAGACAGCAGTATACCGTGTCTGGTGACTGACTGTCTTACAACAATGTGTAGGTGGTTAGACGGTCCTGGCTCAATTCGAGCACAGTTGTGCATTTATAGGAATTGTCCTACCATATCGAACGTTCCATTGCATTTCGCTTTCTTTGATTGTGTTTATCCTTGTTTCCGGCAGACAAATCAAGGATCTGTTGGGAATGACAGAGAAAGCGCCGGAGACATGGCGATAGGTTTCGATGGCAGCACGAAGATATACGTGGAGTTCAAGAACAAGGACAGAAAAAGACAGCAGGTGACTGTGTCTTTGGATGTTAGGTTGATTGTCACATACCATTCACGTTTGGTGACTGTCCTTTAACAATATATATGTCGTTATACGGTCCTCTCAGAATCACAGCACAGTTGGACATTTATAGGAATTCTCTCGTTATATCGACTGTTCCATTGACTTCATTTCTTTAATTGTGTCAATCATTATTTCTGATAGGCAAATCAAGGATATGTTGAAGAATGACTGAGAAAGTGCTGTGGACTGACAAAGACAGCAGTATACCGTGTCTGGTGACTGTCTTACAACAATATGTAGATGGTTAGACAGTCTTGGCTGTGCATTTATAGGAATTGTCTTAGCATATCGAACATTCCATTGCATTTTTCTATCTCTGATTGTGTTTATTCTTGTTTCCGGCAGGCAAATCAAGGATCTGTTGAGGAATGACAGAGAAAGCGCCGGAGACATGGCGATAGGTTTCGATGGCAGCACGAAGATATACGTGGAGTTCAAGAACAAGGACAGAAAAAGACAGCAGGTGACTGTGTCTGTGGATGGTAGGTCGATGGTCACAGATACCATCCCGGGCCGGATACCGAAGGAGGTATACGAGGCGGTAAGGAAGAGACAGCTGAAGGACCGGTTCGAGCTCAAAGTGTTGCCGTAAGTATCATATTTGGAATACAGAAGAGAATTGTATTTGGTATCTTGGTACTTGTTCTATTATTCTTGAATTGTTTCTTCATTTATGCCCAATTTCTGTGAATTATACAACATTTACGACTGAAGAAACCCTATAACATTGTCTATATGATGATTAGGCATATTTTGATTAGAACATTTTTAGAAGTCATTTTGATTTACAGGGTTCAGGATGCTTGGAATTGGGCGGAAAAGAATGGGATAAAGAGGAAGACTACTCTGCAAAAGTTCGAGGAATATTCCATTCCAGAAAATTCGGAAAGGAATTGTTTTACAGAAGATGATTATTCTCCTATACCAGCACTTGATATTCAATTCATCAATATTAAAATCACCGAGGTAAGTTTCATGAGTTCACTCTAAATTAAATAGAACACAAAAGTTACCTCATTTTTGAAGCTTGTATAAACTCTTTTCACATATAGATAGAAGCAACTGTTTTTGAGATAAATGAAATTGAAGAATTTGGAAATTTTCGTGATTTGATGGGGATTTGAATTGTTTTCAATTAAAAGCTCGAATTGGCGAAAACTAATGTAAAATGATGTATTAAAAGTGTTATAGTCCTTGTGTCCAGATTCAGAAGTTCTAGCAGTTCTTCTGATAGTTTCGAGGATGAAATATTGTTTATGTTGGGGAGTAGACGGGATAGGTTGAAAATTCTCAACATGCTATATACACAAAAGATTGCATTGAATTATGATAATATGGATAATGTCATTGATAAGAATTCTTCGTTGGTACTCAAGTTTCCTGAATTTTCGCACTAATTTCTTGAAATTCAGGATGGGAAAGAAAAGTGTATCTAACACTCGAAGTTTCTTCAATTTCTGTTGGTGTCCTTAATGCAGCTATTCTTTTATTTTCACATTTTAGGCTGATTTTTTTTTCGAGGTTATGCTGTCGCTGTCCTTTCGAAATCCACCAAAAATCGTCCACCATCTCTGTACATCAGTGGAATAGTTTGCAATTTTGGTTGACACAACAGTAATAAATGAACGCGTTGTTACTAGTCCAGTAGCCAGGGGATTTTGCCCTGCAAAAGGTTTGGTAGTTTTGATTTGTGGATATGTGGTTCGGGGTACGCCCGCGCGAACCGCCATCTTGGAAAATGGCGACTAGAATTGTTAATTTTTGCATTATCTCCTTATTCGTGGGTACTAGCACAAAAATAACTATTGTCAATATTATAGAAGACTAAATTTTCTACAAGTAAGGGAGCTGTAACGCTTCGAAATGGTGCAATTAGCTAAAAAATACGAAAACGCGCTGTTATGAGTCATTGTCATGCGATATCTACCTCATCCAATTCTAAACATGGATTATTTTCATTAGTATGAAAAGCTTTCATTTGTAATGAAGAGACCTCTCGGCATCTCAGTATAACAATTATTGGTACAAAAATAAAAAAATATTGAGGAGAAATTCGTTCTATGGTTTCTGAACTTTCTTACTTTGATATATATCTGTGGGTTTAGGAGAGCAAAAAGTATCCAAGTAAGAGAGAAAATCTGAATCAATGTCTCATTGAAAACAGAGGCAGCGTGCTAAAAAGTTCAAGAGGATTAAACATAAAATATAAGAGGTTCAAATTGGGTACAACCCCCAAAACAGTATCACTTTGTTGATAATCAAAAACGTCTAATAGCCCTGAATATTTAGTTTCGCAAGTGTAATAGGTGTACCAAATTTCATTTCATTATTTTGAAAAGTGTAGCAGAAAACTTGAAAAACACTGAAAAAAATCTCAAACTTCGACCTCCTTTACCTATATCGGTAACGAAGCTCCCATGCATATAATATGTTCACATGAACTTTTCTTCTTGAAAACATCTGTTCCTCAAGCTACAAAAAACTGACTTGACCTGAATATTATCTGATTCAGCAAATTTATGTTCGAGAATAAGAGTGTAAGATTGGATAAAAATGGATATGGGAAGGGACAAAATGCTGCCTAGAAATAACTATTACAGACCCTTCAACACTCAGCTCTACTGGGATGAAATGGTCTTGACTAACTGTCAGGAAGGCACGTTAGTGTGGTACACTGACGGTTCTAAGACTGATGAGGGCACGGGAGCCGGAATATATGGAGATAGACCCAGAACCAGGATGTGTGCTTCCTTGGGGAGGTATGCTTCAGTATTCCAGGCAGAGGTGCATGCTATTGTGGCATGCCTGAGAGAGAATATTGTAAGAGGATACAGAGGTAAACAAATCCTCATATGCTCAGATAGTCAGGCGGCCATTCAATCTCTAACATGCAATAAAATCAGATCAAAATTGGTCTGGGATTGCCTTCAAAGCCTGCTAACCCTGGCTAACCACAACAAGGTAACTCTTCAATGGGTGCCAGGGCATAAGGGAATTGAAGGCAATGAAGCAGCTGACGCTCTTGCCAGCCAAGGGCCTGCGACGTTGTTTATGGGACCGGAACCTGTATTCGGTATCCCCAGAACATCAATACGCGGCTGGCTGGCAAGGTGGATGCAAGAAAGACATCAGGCATACTGGAACAATGTCCCAGGACAAAGACACAGTAAACTGATGGTTAGAACACTGTCCAAAACAGTGACTAACGACATTCTGAGCCTAAACAGAAGTCAGATCAAACAAGTGACGGGACTAATAACCGGTCACTGCCCCTTGAGGAAACATATGAATCAAATGGGCATCTATACAGACGAACCCATATGCAGACTATGCAATGAGGAGGAGGAAACTGCCACCCATGTAATATTGGAGTGCGAAGCACTAGCGCGTTGGAGATACAACCTTCTGGGAGCAGTAAACTCTCAAGAGGCATTTTCAAAGAATGATTTGGTGAAGAGGCTGCTAAACCTCATCAAGGTAGCGAACCTGTTCACCTAAGTCAACAGCATGATCAGGAATACAATAGGCCCAAAGGCTGCAAGGTTTTGGGCTTCAAACCCTGACTGATCAGTCTGCTATTAATCAATCAATCAATCAAGTAAGATTCTCTGAAAATATAAGTAAAACTTATCCTTGAACTCTCAAGTCATGATAAAATGAAGTTCGATTAAGTCCAGTAAATTTGAATGAACTCACTATTAGGAAGAGAATCGCAGCACATAATAATATTTTCAGATTTTTTCATGAAATATTCTTCATATATTTGAAATAGTAGTGAAACTCCCAGCCATCTCCACTTTCAAAAATTATTTAATGAAAATCTGGACGATTTAAGGGCTTGTTTTGAACCTTTATAGGTTCATCATCAGCCATTATCTCACGTATCAATTCTAGAACGAATGAAGGAGTGAAAAATCAATAAATTTTACAGGAAAGTGATTACTTACGTATATTTCAGCAAACCGCATCATTTCGAAGCGTTACAGCTACCTTACAATGAGTCGTACAAAAAAATGTTCCAGATATAACTTGTAGGTAATTCAGTTCTCTATGAGATTGGTAATATGTATATGGAGATAGTGCAGAAGTCGACAATTTTCGACGCCATTTTCCAAAATGGTGGTTGACGCGGGCGGTCGCCAAGCTCGCAAATTTGGAAATTTGATAATTACCGTGGATTCTAGAACATATCCAAAAATCAAAACTACCGGACCTGGAATCCACCAAAGAATATATGAACGCAGTTGGTGGATTTAGGGAGCCACCGGTGAATAAAAGAACGTCCCTGACCTGTCGCTTTTTTCCAGCACATCGACGCCGCCCATTTTTGGGCCAACACGCTCGACAGCGAGATCCATCTCGGGAAAATCGAGGAAACTCTGAACAAGACGGTGCTGCACGAGGTGCTGGCGGTCGGTGGACGGGTCGAATTGGGAAAGATCTACGCCGCCCGGTATTCGGAGGACAACATGTTCTATCGGTGCCAGGTCATCAATCTGAACGACAAAATGGCCCAGGTGAGTCAACGTCTCGAAAATTGTCGATAATAATAATAATAATAATAATAATAATATGTCTTTATTCATATTGCCCAAATTACAAAATAATAAGAACATCGATGGTATACAAGAATTTCAAGACAATATGTAAGGGCGGAATTCAGTCACTCCTATTTATTAATTTATTAATTACAATAAACCGGAATAACTTTGTGACTTGTGGTTTACTTTGGGACACCTGGTGTTTTCCTCACACTGTTCCCCACAACATGGTCTATCGGTGCCATGTCATCAATCCGAACGACAGGTTACTGAACGTCTCGAAAATTGTCGATAATTACAGTAAACCGGAGTAACCTTGTGACTTGGGTTTCACTTTGTGACACCTGGTGTTTTCTTCATCAAAGATTTAATCGACGTCGTACAAAATGAAAATCTAAACTTGTAGTGTTTTTCCTGATCTTTCTGATTCTGATGAGAGTTTTTCAAAAATACGATCTAGAAAGTCGAAATTATGACATTTATGAAGAAAATGAATTTCATAAGTCCGGCTCTGGAATTTTTTTCCATAGTGGGCCATCTCATGGAGTGTCTGTAGAGGTAAATTGCTGATGAATTTCAGGCGATATCATGGAGACGTTGCTGAAATATCGTTCATCGAAGTTTCGCCCCAAATACAAATAATGCCCTGTATTTCTGTTACGAATAGGCAAAATATATTTTTTCACATATACACTCACCGGCAGAAAAAACAGGCCATCAAAAAATTTTGCTAAATCGTTTGCCCTGTAACTTTTCTAATTCTTGTCCGATTTTGATGAAATTTCGACCCAAATCGTATATTCATGTTTCGGAATGTTAGCCTGAATATTACGCCCTGTGGAAAAGCTGAGTGGTTGAACTTAGCTTCATTATGTTTTGAATTGAAGTGTGAGCCCTTCTTAACACAATGGTTCTTGATTCACGTCGATAATCACTTGTTATAAGAAAGTATGGATTTTTATTATTTTTATTGAAAATATTTTGGTCAATATCAACGGTTCGAAAAAGGGAGTTGATTGAAGCATAGAGAAATTCATTCTTTTGAAACATATTGAAATTAATATATCATAACATTTTTTTTTTTTAAACTCAAAAATGTGCTAACATTTCAGTTAACGCCTCTAGCGGCGACAGCAAAAGTCAAAAATCCAAAACCAAATAAGTGTTTTGTAGGGCAAATCATTCTCTTTCATATGAGCCTAAGTTTGCTGAAATCGGTCGAAATAAACGGGAGAAATCTTGGTTTGTTTAAAAAAACAACTGAACTGCCCCCATCGCTTCATTTTGATAGATAGAACAAAACGTTTCAGACAAAAAATGTAGCGAAATGGTCAGTTGAGATGAAAATGATATCATCGATATACTTTCATTAAACAAAATTCTATAAAAATCCCATTTTTCTACTTGGTGTTGGTTGTTACGCTCTCTACCGGACGTTTGACAATTTCGAAAATAATTTCCAGCAATTTCTCTTGGCGACTTTCATCATGATTTCTTTTCTCTCAAATCTATACGACCAATATCTCATGAGATATGGCCGCTCGCTACCCTCAACTGATCACCCTGTACATAAAAAACTGTATGTTATAGGTGATCTTCATCGACTACGGCAACATCCAGCAGATGCCGCTCTACGGCCTCTACTTGCTGCCCGACCGGCCCGAGTGCCTCTTACCGCCCTTGGGCGTCGAGTGCATCCTACACGGCGTCCAGCCCTCGATGAAGCTGAACCCGAAGGGCCTGTGGACCGAGCAGGTGAACGAGCACTGGAAGAACCAGACCTACAACGTGCTGCTGTTCGGCCAGGTCCATTCCGTGGTCGACAACGTCGTCTATCTGGTGGTGTACAAGAGCGATCCGGGAAGGGTAAGGTTTCTCCCTAGAGTGACTAGTTGAAAAATAGTGGTTTATTCTACGGAGAAGACTTCACGTTATAAGGATTTTTGTGGTAGCACTGCCAAATCGATGATTCGGAATGATTTATAAAAAAAACTTCACAAACGATAAGAGTTTCACAAAATTCTCAATCACACGACATGTTTCGATAACATTCTTCAGGTGAAATACTTGCCTACTTTCATATCCAACCTGGGGCCCGATTCTCGAATCTGTAGGAATTCGATCCTATAGGAGAATGATCCAATGCTTTCAGTTCTCATAGGAAATGATAATTTGTCATGACTCCTATTCTTGAACCAGATGTAGTCCAATAAGTGAAGGAGGAAAAAAAGGCAAAGTTAACGTTAATTACGCACTATTTTCATCTTCCGGTTGGAAGTAGCTTTTGGTACCTCATTAAACATGAGACAAAGTTTGACTGGAAAACGCGTGCGATGGCGGAGAAAATGGCCCCAAAAGACCAGGAAAATAGGTTTTCAGACAATATCTCCTAAAATATGGCAGTTAGAGATTTTCGGTTCAGATAAAAATTTAAGTTCAGTTAATTTTCTACAAAAATGGTCCTCATCATTTTTCTCGAAAATTTGCTCGGTTTCGAGAAAAACGGCACGAAGCGCACCTCGAATAATGAGCTTCTGTGTTGTATGCCGGAGAGCACAGTCCGTGTATTTACATATCGGCGGGGGGACAAATAATAATAATAATAATAATAATAATAATAATATTTATTTCACTTGTTAAACCGTATGAAAGCGTTACAATAAACATTTACGTACAGTAACAAGGAATACGTCTGTGTATAAATAAGAGAGTATAGGAGATAAATATAGATATAGAAAAAAAACAAACATTTTATATAAAACGACAAAACTTGACACCTATTAATTTGGACATATACAGATGGGTGATTTATTGATTATCGTGAGTTACTAAAACTCGTCAACGGTGTAGCAGTTTCTTTCTATGAGATATTTTTTTAATTGTCTTTTGAATATGGAGATATTCTTTGAATCCTTAATAGAAACATCTAGCTTGTTAAATAGTTTGGGTCCAAGGTAGAGGTGACTCCTCTGATAAAGGGAGGTTCGGTGAGGGTTTGCTATCAGCAAACCTCTTGCTCTCGTTGGATAAGGGTGGTCTTGTTGGTTTGCCCTAAATTTATCTCTATTCTTATAAACGTAGAGACATATCTCATATATATACAGACCAGCAACTGTGAGTATTCCCAGCTCTCTAAATGAGTTTCTGCATGATTGTCGCCATCCTAAATTAGCAATTATTCTGACCGCGCGTTTTTGTAGAATGAATACTCTTTCAACAGAAGAGCTCATACCCCAATTTAGGATTCCATAGCGCAGGTGACAGCCAATAGTTGCATAATACAGATTTAGCAGGACCTCTATTCCACAATGATTCGACATAAATCTCAGTGCATAACAGTGCATAAATTATTCAATAACTTTGTTAAAAATGCATATTTTCTCATGATTCAAAGTTCATGTGAAAGAGGAATTTATTCTGCTGCTATCATACCCTGCGTGGCCGCATGGTTTATAGCAGACGACCCGAGCGCCACGTAGAGCACACACGCGGCGAACGACGGAGGAACGAAAGTAATAAATTATAGCGTGTACATTTAGATATACTGGATTTTTCTCGGGATATCAAAGGTATGACTTATATACATCGATGGAAAGGTGGAAATTCCCCCGTTACACTAGTTAAGGTGTTAAAATGTTAGAAATAAATAGCACGGAGAAAAATACCACCGAAAAAAAGTGCGTTTTTTCCTTGACCCCGCTTTTTCTAATTTTATTAAAATGGACGACTTCGTCTAACAAAGTAATTGCACAATCGAAAAGTAGACCTTCTTAGCTTTCAAATGATGTATCATAGAAACCAATCGGATCATATATAAATTTTTAATTGATGGTTGTTCACAAAATTTCCCCGCCCTCCAAAAACAGCAATAAATTGGGATTCAATAACAAAGATTAAATGAAAATTTAAAAAAATTAGGGTATATAAATTTCAGGGATGACGAAGGACCTTATGAGGACCCATAATCAAGAGAATTTTGAGTAAATTAGTGCAATACAAAAAAAAATAGGAACAAATTCCTGGCGAGGTCAAAATTGACCGGGAGCAGAAAGTTTGACCCATGTTCCGATATGGCCAAAAGAGTCAAGCGTGACTCAATTCACAGGGTATGATAGCAGCAGAATTCCTCTTTCACAAGAACTTTGAATCATGAGAAAATATGCATTTTTAACAAAGTTAATGAATAATTTGTCCCCCCGCCGATGTGTAAATACACGGACTGTGCTCTCCGGCATACAACAGAAGCTCATTATTCGAGGTGCGCTTCGTGCCGTTTTTCTCGAAACCGGGCAAATTTTCGAGAAAAATGATAGGGACCATTTTTGTAGAAAATTAACTGAACTTCAATTTTTATCTGAACCGGAAATCTCTAACTGCCATATTTTAGGAGATATTGGCTGAAAACCTATTTTTCTGGTCTTTTGGGGCCATTTTCTCCGCCATCGCACGCGTTTTCCAGTCAAACTTTGTCTCATGTTTAATGAGGTACCAAAAGCTACTTCCAACCGGAAGATGGAAATAGTGCGTAATTAATGTTAACTTTTTCCCTTTATTTATTGGACTAATGGAATCGTTTTTCCCAGGGAATTGAAAAAGTGCCGTATGTCGCAGATAGATTCTTGAGCTTACATGAATTCACCAATGAAATAAGTCTAATTTATGTTGGTGGATGATCGAAATGAAATGTTAACATTTCGATTTTGACTAATTTTGAGGATATAATATAATATAATTTTGCGACGGTGAGATTATTGTGTATTGTATATTTACTATATTTCCTCTGATCGAAGTGGATATGGATACAAACAATATTAAAAAACCACGAGGTATTTGCAAAGAGCATAAAATACTTTTAAAAGAAATAATGGAAGCATCTGAGGACTTGAGGAAAGGAAAATGTCACCTTCATTCACTTATAAGAATTCTAAGTAATAATAAATTCTCTAGTAATGTCTCTGGACAAACAATCAATCAATCAATCAACTTTATTATTCCCAAGAAACAACATTTGTTTATAGCAGGGAACATAGTGAATACATAAATATATTTGACAAAATAAAATAAAGAATACTGTCTGTAGGTTAATCGAGGAGGTGGTACATTCATTATTCCAAACTTTTTGGGATTTTCTCTCCTCGTTTCTATAAAATAAAAATATGAATATTATTTCAATATACGTGTAGTAAGGACAAATCAGATGATTTGCCCCAAAATGTCACTGCGTTTAAAGAATTCTTCTATCAGAGAGCCTAAAAGAAAAATTCACTAGCTTGTCAGTGACAATTTGTATTGAAAAAATTTTTGAGAAGAGAAATAAAGGTATATAGAAAAAATATCAAATTTTCACTTATCTTTGGACGTTTCGGGACCGATTCTGCTCCCGTTTTCAACATAAAGAATGATTATTTAATAGCAAAGTTGTATCTGTCTTGAAGCTTTTCTGTCTTCAGTGACAATTGGTGACGTTGGCAGTCAAATGAGTTACAGGATGTTTCCATTAATTAATCTTGAATTTACCATTTTCATTTTAAGATTTTAGTAGTGAATACCATGTTCTGTCTATATCAACTGAACAAGGAGCAATGTCTCCGTTCAGAAGAATGCAAGCAGATTCCTTGATTTCTCTCTTCTGGTTGTTATCTTCTTTTCCAATGAAGATGGAGAGCATATGGCAGAGTGGAATAATATTAAAATCTTTGGAAAAGAAGATGGCATTGCTTCTTATTCAGTTGATATAGACAGAACATGGTATTTACTACTAAAATCTGAACATGAAAATGGTAAATTCGAGATAAATTAATGAAACCATCTTGTAACTGAAATGCTTCAAGACAGATACGACTTTGCTATTAAAATAATCATTTTTTCATCAATTATTTGAAAACGGGAGCAGATTTGGTCCCGAAACGTTCAAAGATAAGTGGAAATCTGATAGTTTTTCTATATACCTTTATTTCTCTTCTCCAAACTTTTTTGATACAGTGGACCACACAATACTTCTGGATAACTTGGAACCCATGGGACTCTTAAACGTTGTGGAAATGATTTTGTGTTTTCTAACCCTCTCATATACATGAATGCTGATTTGCTGTAATTTATACTCCAAAACACTCCCTGAGGTTGCTGGAGTCGGTTCAAAGAAGAGCCATCAGGCTCATCAATGACCCAACTCTGACAAGATCACTGCAAACTTTACAACATCGGAGAGACGTTGCAGACCTATCACTCTTCTATCGCTACTATCATGGACGATGCTCTGTTGAATTGTCATCAGCTGTCCCCCCTGGAATGACCTTTGTTCGCCAAACGCGGCTGGCTCGCTAGTCTCACACCAATATGCAGTCAAAATTGAAACACCTAGAACAACATATTTCAAGAACTCCTTCTTTTGTAGGACATCTTCACTGTGGAATTCTTTACCCACAGATGTATTTCCAACGAACTATAATCTATTTACCTTCAAGAGGAGGATCCATCGATATTTGTCCCTCCTTAGTGCTCGCAGTTCCACCACGGGATTATAGGTCCAACCTTTTGCGAGCACTTCCGAATAAAAAAAAATTATTATAGGACAACCGTAAAGATAAAACAATAGAATAGAATAGAATATTTATTTCACCAAGTTACAAATGTTATATTTTTGGCAGGTCAGATACAATAGACATGTTAAAATGTAGTACATAAAAAACACATTTAAATGTAGTGGAATAAAAAAACGCATTAAAAGTAGTACAATAAAGTCATACAAACAAATACAATGAATCTACTAATAAAACAAACTGGAATCAGTATCAGTGACATACAGTGTCATTCATAAAGTCGGCATCATATGGGAAAAACTCTTATTAATGACTTATTTTGAAATTCGAGTTGGACGTTAAGTTTTGCTTCAAAAAAGATGAAAAATGGCCTACTCAAACGGGGTCACGTGACTTCCGCTACATGTCAAAAGTGACATTTTTTCAAATTAATCGCTGAAAGTAGGCTTATTTGTTCGAATATCGAAAGAGTTTACTTGAAAAAGTTGTTTCTATTTGAATTTTACATATGTGACTCGGAATTTATCTTTCTATTACATTTTTTAGATTTCGATATTTTTTTAAAATTTTCGAAATTTCTGTAATATTAAAAAAATTGTAAATTCGATGAAACTACTTCATACCAGTAGTTTCATCATGCTACTAACTTTCAATTATTAATTATCACTAATTATCGACAAAAATATGATTTTCTTCAGAAAATGATAATCTCCGCTTCCAAATTCTGTTATGTTTGATGCAAACATAACATCAAAATTCTGTTATGTTTGAATCGAGCATTTAGAAACGAAATTCATTTGGATTTATTTTTCCAGTACTGAAAAGATCAGTTTAAATGAATTTTGTTTCTAAATGCTTGACGATATATTAACTTTGCATCAAACATAACAAAATTTGGAAGCGGGTATTATCATTTTCTGAAGAAAATCATATTCCTGCCCATAATCAGTGATAATAAGTAATTGAAAGTAAGTAGCATGAAAAAGCTACTGGTATGAATTAGTTTCGTAGAATTAACAATTCTCCAAATATTACAGAAATTTCGAAAAATTAAAAATGAATCAAAATCTAAAAGTTGCAATAGAAAGATCAAATTCAAGAAGCATGTGTAAAATTGAAATAGAAACACTTTTTTAAGTAAACTTTTTCGATATTCGAACAAATGAGCCTACTTTCAGCGATTAATTTGAAAAAATGTCACTTAACATGTAACGAAAGTCACGTGACCCTGATTGAGTAGGCCATTTCTCATCTTTTTTGAATCAAAATTTAACGTCCAACTCGAATTCCAAAATAAGTCATTAATAAAAGTTTTTCCCATATGATGCTGGCTTTATGAATGACACTGTATAGTTGAATAACAATCATTCATAAAGACTCATCGAGGGGCGTCCTCAGATATTCGTCAATGGAATAAAAACAGTGACGGAGAATATGACGTTTCAATTTGATTTGATCAGGTCACTTTCAATTGCATTTCTGATTTGTTGGATTGAGTCTGCGGAATAAATCAATGTAGTGTCATCAGCGAACATGTAAACTTTTCCTTTCAATTTATCGACGAAACATGAGGAAAATCTTGTCTTGCAGAAACAAATCAAATCCTTGAACCAGATGATGCTGGACTTGGGCCATGCCGAGCCGGCCGTCGAGAGTTTCCTCTCCAAGGAGGACCACGCCAAAAGGGAGAAGGTGCACAGAGCTGATAATCCCAATCAGGAAGCGGTTAGGCTTAGCCACGACAAGGTAATAGAGAAGTTTTACCGCCTTCGGGAGAGATGAGCAAATTTCCAACATTCAAATTTTCATTCCCCTGCTTAGTTCATGAAAATTCATTGAACACAATTTTTTTATATTTTTTTCGTGCGATCGAATTTGAGTTCAGAAAAGGATCATGAAGATAGTTTTGGCTCCTCCACCATTTTTATGACGTACAGGGTGATTCGCCATAAATGTCCCCCCCTCTAGCTCAGTTATTTTTGAACCGATTGCAAAATTTTAAATATCATCTTAAATGATTTTCGATAAAGTTTTTTTCCACTACATCAGAAAATACAAAGTGCTCGGAACAAACGATCTACAGGGTACTTTTTGATTTTTTTTAATGGAACACCCTATTTTTCATTGTATTTTTAGATTCTCCCTGAAGAGCTGATTTCATCAATGTATCACACTTGGGGTCTAGCGAAAATGATTACAGAGATATAGGGTGTTTAAAATCGAGATTTTTCAACTTTAGGATTTTTCTGTGACGAAACTATTCATTATCGGTCAAAACGGCTTTCATGTCCGTATCTCAACTTTTGATTCACTATCTACTGACATTTAATAATTGGAACAGATACAGGGTGATCAGAATTCTGAATCTTGAATCACACTGTATATGTCCCAATTAAATATAAGTAGATAGTTAATCAAAAGTTGAGATAGGGGCATTAAAGCCGTTTTGACCAATAATGAATAGTTTCGACACAAAAAACTCCTAAAGTTGGAAAATCTCGATTTTGAACACCCTATATCTCTGTAACCATTCCCGCTAGACCCCAAGTGTGATGCATTGATAAAATCTGCTCTTCAGGAAGAATCTAAAAATACAATGAAATACAGGGTGTTCCATTTGAAAAAATCAAGTAGTACTCTGTAGATCGTTTGGTCCGAGCACCCTGTATTTTCTGATGCAACGGGAAAAAAATTTCTGTAAAATCATTTTAGATGATTTTCCAATTTTTCAAATCGGTTCAAAAATAAGTGAGCTACAGGGGGGGAAAGTTTATGGTGAATCACCCTGTACTACTTAGAAAAGGCATGTACGCACACTGCACAGCTAACAATAGTCGCGTTTGTTTGTGATTCTCTGTTGTAAGAAATGTGTAGGAACGAATAAAAACGGCAAAGTATATGACATTGATTTGATGACAGCCGTGTGACAACCACATACTATCAAAATGACATAATAATCATCAAAAAAAAAACATCAAAGTTTAGATTAGATTAATTTTTAGATCTTTGGATTGGATCCATGGAATGATGATACATATTGTTACGATTTTACTCTGGGTCCGTAATAACTTAACACTCGGTATAACACTTAAAATAATTTATTCTGAACACTACTATACAATAATTACAATACTCGTACTAAACACTTCCGATTCACAACACTTCTTCGATCGTTATTATAACGCTTCCAAAATAAAGACTTCCCTTCCTGTCCCTAACAACAACTATTTATACTACCTAATAAAACGTCTAGATTCCACTCGAAATATCGTGAACAGGTCGATAATCTTCTCGAGTCATCTCAATAGCCGTCGATCCACTTCATTTCTATTCCAAGAAATACGGTTTATTTACTTCCGTAGCAGGTAGCTGGGATTGATCGCCAGGGTCGTAACAATATTGAATAATGGTTTTGTTATATACGTGCGGGCTGTGGGGTAGGTACGTGGGAATTTCGAACTATGACTAATCAATAATCATACCCTGGTGTCATTCAATATTATGAAATTTTGATAGTACCTATATAATTGATGGAGAATATTGTAGTGAAGCATGCAGTGAGCACTATATTATGGAAATGGAAAGTGTATTGAAACTTATATTTGTTACCTACCTAGCGACATTCTTCAAAAAATTATGGATTCATAAGATGACAAAATTAAATCCAGGATAATGAATTTTGCATACTGACCTTTTTCAGAATATGTAATGAAGAAGTCGAAAAAATTTAAAATTATCATGAGATTTTGTTTTACCTAGATTCAATACAATAAGGTTAGACCATACTGACAGCTTTCTTCTTATTCTTATTTTCGGGTACGTAGGCGTCACGAAACTTAGACATAGACAAAGGGTATAGGTAAATTCGGTCCCAAACTTTGTTTTAACTGATACTGCATGGGTAAACTCGGTCCCAGGTAAATTGTTTTGTGAGGGGCTCAGTAAATAATAACATCTTGTTAGGTATTGAATGATATGATATATTACATAAAGTTATACAGTCATACACATTCCTACATACTAAACATACTATAAGAGCTTCACATTATCAAAATACACAAAAAAATCATAATTAAACCTCGCAGTGAAATGAACATTTAATGAAATGCAAACGACTTATTTCGTTTTTAACATATGAATCGATCATTTTTGCAATACATTTTTTTCGATTTCTAACTGCTGTTAATAATTTTGGCATTCAAATGTACACTTTGTATATTATACATAAGTTTCAATCTGAAATAAGTTTATCAACAAAAACAAAAATGTTTAGATGAGACTTGTAAAACGAATCGTGTCTATGAAAAAAAGTTCTGCTGAGTTTTGAGCCCAAACTGTAGGAGGGAATAGTGACTCCTCAGATATGTGACTATCTATTAAATAATCGCAATACATCTGAATTTTTTGATCTTGAGGTGCAATTGAGAGCAAGTCAAATACAAAATAATCAATGACTTCCACAGGATTCAGGAAGGTAAGCGTAAAAATCATTCTTAGACTTCGTCCTGCGTCGGAACTTTCATCTTTGTACACAAGTATTCGACCAATTTGTTGAATTTTTCTATAACATGCTTGCAAAAGATGAAATCGGCTGCCTATTACTTGAGCTAATGGCCAAACTTGATCGACAGCCTTATACCTTTTTCGAAGTCGACAACAACTTCAGAAATGTCTAATGTGACACTATTGTTATTACAGATTCCTTTAACAATATTAAATAACTTTTGATATGTTTCACTACGTTTGTTGGGTAGTAACGAAAAAATTGATGGAATATAGTGGCCCTTATAATACCCGTGTATGGTAAAAATCTGACAAAAAAATTGTGGGCAGTAGTTGAATGTGCCATCTAAATATATTCTTTTGACTCTTCTGATAAACTCAATATTTGTTTGACAAGAAAATACCATAATTCCATCTGTTGTACACTCACCGACAAAAAAAAACGGCCACCAAATAATTTAGCCAAATTGTTTGCTCTGTAACTTTATCAATTCTGATCCGATTTTGGTGAAATTCCGACCAAATCGTAGATTTATGTTTCCAAATGTTAACCTGAATATTAGTTCCTAAAAAAATCTGATGACACGATCATTATACAAGGAAACACGAAAGTTACTTTTTCACCCTTAACTTCTAAACGCCCTGTGGAAAAAGTGAGTGGTTTAACTTAGCTTCATTATGTTTTATATTGAAGAGCGATCTTTTCTCCACATGATGGTTTTTTATTAACGTCGATAACCACTTTTTAAAGGAAGATACATGTGTTTCAAGCTCGAGAGTATGAATTTTTGAAATTTTCATTTACAATAATTCAGAACCATTCTCCAACCTTCTGCTTCAGCATGTTTCAAATTGAAGTGAGATCCTCTCTTTTCCCTTCTTCATACAACGGTTTTTGAACAACGTCAATGTTTCCTTCTTGAGAGAAGATACATGTGTTTCAAAAAAGTATAGATTTTTTGATTTTCAATAACAATAATTCAGAACCTATCTACCTATCTTAGGGGTGACCTCTAGAGGTTCATTTGCCTTCGCCCAGCCTTGTCAGATACTCTTCAAGAGCTATGATTCGCTCTTCAAAGAGGATTTTGTGCAATTCTTCAAGGCTACTTGAGTAATTTGATCAATTCGATGCCACTGCGGTTGAATGCTGTAATTCAATATCGAGGAAAGTATACTCGTTATTGACTACAGGTCTGCTTCTTGTTTGTTTTTTGTAATTGATTTTCCGGTAAGTGCTAAGGAAGTAAGGTAGAAATATGTGATATTAATCCTTGAAGTTGTTGATCAATAAGTTCATGTAAGTTCTGATTATTAAAACACCCGTATTTTCTTTTAAAAATGAGATATTGACGTGAATCAAAAATTTTTGTGTTGAGAAGGGAAGGGATCACACTTCAATCCGAAGCATAATGAAGCCATGTTCAATCACGCAATTTTGCCACAGGGCGTTGAGAAGGATAGGGTGAAAGAGTAACTTTGGTTTTTCTCTGTATAATGATCAAGTCATCAGCTTTTCAGGAAAACTAATATTTAGGCTAACATTTCGGAACATGAATCTACGATTTGATCTAAATTTCTCAAAAATCCGACAAGGATTAAAAAAGTTATAGTGTGAACAATTTGGGCAAATTTTTTGGTGGCCGGTTTATTTTGCCGGTGAATGTTCATGTTCGCCAGAATGTCAAAAGTTTATTCTATACTCCAATACTTATAGTTATTTAAAACTGCTAAGGGCTTCACCTTCCGCTTAAAATAATTTTAAGATCCATCCTAAATTGAAAATATTCTTTTAAACAAAACACAGACACACAACGATAACAACTCTTTGGATTAGCTAAGGTCGTATTCACAACAGGAACAGAAATGAATTGAAATACGAAATGTTGCCTATTCATTAGATAGGTAAAATTTGCACTAATAATCATAATTACTTCTTTCTACGAAATCGATTATGCTGGCAAGTATTGTAAAACCCTTGATAACTGACATGGTTGGGACCGAATTTACTCACTGATAAAAGGGTATAAACGTGTATAAAATTTTTAATCTAATCTGCTACCTGCTGGGACCGAATTTATCATCAACCTAGACAAATATCCCTAAATGTCACTAGATCTAGGTAGAACGCCATAGTCATTTCATTCATTAATAATTCTAAATAGCTGAATTTTCAAAATTGGAATCATTTGAATAGCGATTTTAGTAATTCGTTCGAAGGAAACTTCCTCATTGGTTTTTTCAATGCATTTTTTTATCAGGTAGAAAGTTACCATGATTTTGAAGGTCCGAAGCTTGGGTCGAATTGCAAGACCATCGAGCTCAAAGGGCCTTACAGCCCTTTGGAGATGAGATTGTACGGATGCATCGAGAGTTCCGCTGACAAATCCGTAGAGATCGAGGGCAACTCCATCAATACGGTGCTGTTGGATAGCGAGCCCCAAGATTACCATACCAGGTAACTTATAACATGAAGTCATACAGAACTAAACTGGTCAACATTGATATCGTTGTGCTCCAAAATATAGCCTGAATTCAAAGTAGAATAACTCACGAATTTGAAATCGGTTTTCACCGCTGATTAGCCTTATCTCTTAATTTTTTTTCATTCGACTCATTCCACCCCTTGTCAGGTTGCTGGTAGCGGGATACGTCAGCCAATCGGCGACGGGCAGCCGCATCAAACTCCGTCAAACCACCCTCATGCCCAACGTGCCCGGCCTCCCCATGCTACTCACCCTCATCTTCTGTCCGACCATGAGACCCAAGGTGACCGAGGACGTGACGAGGGTGGCGTCGCTGCTGTGCGGCCTCGGGTTCAATCCCTACACCGACAAGCCGTTCTATCCGGCGCACGATCTGGTCATGACGTTGGATACCGAGTTGACGGAGGACGAGATAAATCAGGTGGGTTGTGGGGGACTCTTGATCGTTTTTGAGCATTCTGGAAGATTCTAGATCATTTTGGAGCATTCTGGAAAATTCTAGAACATTTTGTAACATTTTAGAACGTTTTACAACATTCTGGAATCTTCTGGAAGATTTGATAATATTCTCGAACGCTTCAGAAGATTCTACAACATTCTAGAGCATTTTGGAAGATTCTAGAGCATTATCAAACAGTTTGGAACATTTCCGATCGTTCTAGAACATCTTAGACCCTTTTGGAAGATTCCATATTATTTTGGAACATTCTCGAACATTTTGGGAGAAGATTCTAGATTTTTAGATAATCTAGAACATTTTGGAAAATACCAGATCCTTCTGGAATACCGTTGAACATTCTGGATGATTTCATAACATTCTAGAGCATTTTCGAATAATTTGAGACATTTTAGACGATTCTAGAGCACCCTTGAGCATTCCCATAATTTTTGAGCATTTTTAAACCATTATAGAACATTCTAGAGCCTTCTTCTGAAGATTCTAATATATACTAGAACAGTCTAGAATATCTTGAAACATTTTAGAATATCCTGAAACTTTTCTGAAATAATTAGATCCTTCTGAAAGATTCTACAATTCTGTAACATTCTAGAGCATTCTCGATTATTGTGAAACATTTTATCACGTTCTCGTTGTTCATTTTATAACATTCTCGAATATTTTAGAACATTTAACAACGTTCTAGAACATTTTACAGCCTTCTGGAAGATTTTGTAACATTCTGGAAGATTTTGTAACATTCCTGAACATTCTAGCGCATTCTCAAACATTTTGAACCATTCTAGAAATCCTATCGACTGCGCCTAATTTCAAAATCTGGTATTTATAACTAAAATCTTAGCGAATATATAAATATTGGAGGGAAATATGTATCAAAATTTCACTGAATGAGATTTTATTCAATTGGTGTTCAAACTTATTGAAGTGGTAGATGTCCCAAAGGAATGTTCTTAGGCTAACTAGGTAATGGAAAGAAATCTTACCGACTGCGCTAAATTTTAAAATGTCTGAATTCTGTAATTATTGCTAGTGTCTATGTATGACTACTTAAAATCAGTGTTTTTTTTCAATCTGTAGATCTAACGCACAAATGCTGTTGATACTTATAAAATAGTGCTTCGGATGACACTTAAAAAGCTAAGGTCCCCGTCTTCTTAACTCACACAAGTCTCTGACTTTCGAGGGTTGCTTTGCAACTAAGCTGGCGGTTAAAAACACTTTTTTTAAACACTTTTTAAAAGGATACGTTGCAAGTTGTTCGATACAGGAATCCCCTTTCGTTGGCTCCAAGAGATAAAAAAAATCTTGATTAGCCAACTTGCCAGATATACATATTTTGGATGCAAACTTCACTGAATGAGATGTTCACAACTAATACTTATTGTTGTTGTAAATGTTTCAGAAAAATCCTTATAGGCCCAAATTACTGGACTCATTCCAAATTGCCATTTATTGACAAAACATATTCAATTTATCACTTCTGCTTCAACCGGAAAGTAATAAAATAGTTATTTATTATAGACGGAGACAAAAGTAGTAGATTTTAGCTCCAGGCTGTATTTTCAAACTGACAAAAAACCGTGAGCTAAAATCTAGTATTTTTCCCGTGTATATTTTACACTTTTTTTTTTCTGTGACAGAAAAAAGGATGAATCAATACTGTAAAGATATCACATTATATTAAAATCAGAAAATGTTCGACGTGAAACTTGAAGTTTTTAACAGGAATTACACCTGCATTGCAGGCATCTTTATCATTCTTTTGAAGTAATCAAATATCTGTCAGTCTAATTCTGTGATTAGATTTTAAAAAATTGCGAACTTGGCGGTTGATGGAAAGTCACATTTTATAACCTGTCAACAGATGAAATGTCAAACTTCTTTTCCGTCACAAAAAAACAAATGTCAATTGTCAATAAATGAACGATTTGGTATACTTGCTACACACCAAATTTGAAAATGCGATATCGAAAGATTGAGAAGGTACTGGCCATTTTTGTGCACTTCTCTCTATTTTGATTGTCTCAATAAACCGGATGTACAAAATATTGGAGGGAAAAGTGCGTGTCTTCGTAATCAATATAAAATTGATGAGGTGTTGAATATTTCTGTTTGAATTTTCAGATCAATAGAATTCGATTTTATATGAACCAAGGTATGAAATTGATGTACGAGTTGACGCAAGAAGTATTGAATCAAGAAGAGTTGGTCAGGACACAGAAAGCCCTCAAGAAGGATTTAGTAGAGTAAGTTTTTGTTGCATTATACATTTTCCTGTCAACCTTTTGATTCATTTTCTGTAGAAGATATTGTCGCAACTCAGATGTTGGCCCTGCTATAGGTCGTAACTTAGCTACTCGCTTGGCTTTTTGACGAGAGGTTTTGATCATTTCACCATCCAACCACATTCATCCCCAAATAAAGAGTCATTACAGTTTTCATATAAAATGTGACATTTTTATTGATTAAATGGAAAAGTCGTGGATAAGTGCTTGCCACATATCAGGTTAGCAAAGAAAAAGAACATAATGGCTTGCCAAATGAAACACAACGCAAAACAACACTTGAAAAAAACAATATCAACATTACAACGTCTAGCATGGGGTTGACCAGCAGGATTAAAGTCGGGGAAACGGCGGTCATTTTTAATTGATAATTACTAATGACTTGTATTATTAATGATGATGCCTTATCGACTCGGGTACTATTTATATTCGGATCGATGCTAGATTTGCAATTTTCCGCTATGGGAATGGCCATTACCTTTCGATATTGCTTACCTAGGTATTATCGCACGGTAAGCGATTTTTGCAAATTTTACAGGAACAGACGTCTATGAACTCCGCTGACCTGATCGAAACTACACTGTACTGGATGTTTTAATTTAAAGAAGTTGATTTATAGTTGAAGATCTTGAAATGAACGCGAGTTTGAGTGATGTTTTTCGATAGGCATTTGTACTTCTTGACAATATTAGCGTTGACTACCAAACGAATTAATATCTTTATTTACACAAAATGATGAAAATAAATTAGATCTTTCGTTTTCCAAAGTGGCATAAGTGTATTTGTTTCATTTTGTGTCTTCAATGGAGTTATTATATAACCTAAATGCTTTTCTAAACAGTTTCTGTTATTGTTTGTAAAGCTGGTGGAGATGGAACTGACCCTGGATTCAGTTCTGGAAACACAAATATTCTGAATTTCTGCAGGCCACAACACAACAGGTGTGAGAAATCAAAAATGTTTTTTGATTGTATGTTTGTAACCGACTCCTTTGGACTCAATTTTGACTCACTTAAAAGAACCGATTGATTTTTAATCTGGCAGTTATACATAGTTCGGGTGGTAATGCATGATGAAATTTTTGTTAGACAAAAAACAGAATGGCGCCTCCAAAATGGCGGACGAGTTTTGTAATATCAGTAATGCATCATGAAATTTTTGTTAGACAAAAAAGTGAATGGCGCCTCCAAAATGGCGGACGAGTTTTGTAATATCATCCTATTCTATTCAAAATTGTTACCTGGGGGGTTTTCGAGTTCGGAGATGATGATTTATTCGTCAAATTTTGCAAATTCAAGATGGCGGAGTCAATATGGCGGACGAGTTTTGTAATTATGATCTGAATCTATTCAAAATTTGTATCTGCGGGTTTCCAGGATCGGAGATTATGACTCTTTCACCAAAATTTGGAAAATCAAGATGGTGGATCCAGTATGACGGACGGGTCTTGTAATGATCTTCCAGTTCTACTCAAAATTTGTATTTGGGGATTTTCGGGGTTGGAGATTGGGATTCTATAGTCAGAATTGGAAAATTCAAGATTCGATTCTAATCAAAATTGGTATCTGGGGACTTAAAAGATCGAAGATTATGATGCTTCTGTTAAAATTAGAATATTCAATATGGCGGTTACAATATGGCGGACGGGTTTTGTAATCATGATCCAATTCTATTAAAAATTAGTATCTGGGGATTGTCGGAGTTGGATATTATGATTCTTTCGTCAAAATTGAGAGCTTACAATAAATATAAGAACTAAATACTAAATGATACATAAAGTCATCTCCACGACATATATGATTAACACATCAATTAAAATTAGTACATGTTTCGGCCATAGATGTGTCTATTATCAGCCTTAACATCAGAAATTACATCAATGGCATGGGGACAAAAAGATTAAACAAAATTTATAATGGTTATCCACCATTTTCGTTCATTTTATGAACTATTGTGGTAATGATTTTGAGTTTCTCTCTCTTTGAAACCCAACATTCTCTTCCGTTTCCAGCCTGATATACGCCCACAGAAAGCCGGTGCAAAGGATGAACGTAAAGTACGCGAACGTGTGGAGCAAGAACATGGTCGACACCGTCACCTTGAAGCCGAACGTCAGCGAGGAGTCCGAGGACATTTGGCCTTTGCTGTGGTTCGTCCGTCTGAACAAGACGGGCGAGTACAGCACGCAGATCGCCAAGAATCTCGACGAGTTGCAGGAGATTGCGAGAACGTAAGTCGACGCTAACCTAATCGTTACTTTTCAGAAGACAAGATGCTCCACTATACTGTATTACCACTAACCAAACCGATTTTTTTAAACGGCTCGACACGTGTTTCGATTACTATGTTTGCATATTCAGGAGAAGATTGAAACTAAATATCCTATTCTAGTGTGCTGCTTATATACTAGGTATGAAACAGATCTTTCCATTCCCTATTATATTGTCTAAAAGTGTGTTTGTTATTTTTGATGTTTTGGGTATCTTTCTATCATGATTGTTTTTTTTTTATTTATTTTTTTTTTTAATTGACTCGGCCGTTACTTGATGGAAATCCATGTTAAATGTAAAAACTTCACAAACGATAAGATTTCCACAAAATTTATTAAACACACGACATGTTTCGCTAACACAGTAGCTTCGTCAGGTTATATACTGGTACAATGAACTAAACTAACGTTGGCTTGCCTAACTTTTATATATCTTACCTTCCCAACCTGAAGGATTAGTTACCTGTGAACAGGTACGATAAACCTCCATTTTCGGAAATTAGGCACAATATCTACATTAAATTACGGTATACCGGATTAACTTGAAAGAGTTGATATCAAATACATATTATTACTTACTAAGAAAACAAATTCAACAGTGGTGAACTATTAAGGTCTAATTGATCATTAAGTAAAATGTCAAAATTTTTGAGTTTGTTGATTTCTAATGATTCAAAATGATTGAGTTTCAGTCCTTTATTTTCTACGTGTAGAATTTCGAAATTATCATCAAAACTATGGTTTTCTTCTAATATATGGTTGGCGTATGTTGAATTTGTTTTCTTTTTCATAAAATTCATCTTATGTTCATGAATGCGCTGATTAAACGTACGACCTGTCTGACCGATATATACCTTAGGACAAGATCCACATTTGAGTTTGTATACCCCTGATTTTTCGAATTTAGAAGTTTTGTCTTTATTATTCTTGATAAACCGCCCCAACGTGTTATTTGTTCTATATGCCACTTTTAAGTCCTGTTTATGTAGGAATGAAGCTAATTTCTCAGTTGATGATCGTTTGTTACTCTATAAATAATTCAATTATCATTACCGTTGAAGCATTGTATTATTATACAGTGGATGAAGTATTCTATAATAATTGATTCAGTAGGTCCTATATCCTCCAGTTTCCTGTAAAGACATTTCTCAGTACCTATACTGTGCTTATTTTGTTGGCTCATAGAGGGCGCACGCATGTCCGATTTGAATTTTATACCGTGTTTTGAAGGTATGGTTTTTTGTGAAGTCCTCGGATAGAACAAGAAAAAAAGCTGATGTTCGATTCGTAGGCAATGCTATCGAATTCACTCTTTCATTTTATTTCCAATCAGAGAGACAGGCGTGAAATATAATAGAGCCAAAACGGCCTTTTGCTTCCCCCATTGAGTTGGAGCCAGCAGCCTGGTCTAGGTAAGCCCTTTTCTGTAGAAATCTGGAAATTTATAAATTGTTACTCAAGATAAAATGATAGGTATTGTTAGTAGATATAGGCCGAATGTCTTGCTAACGTGTTAAACATATCCAACGATGATTTTTTGATATTCTAGATTAGTATACAGGGTGTATACAGTAAAACATTATACGTTATTCCGCCAAGAAATGAAGAGGATTGTATAGGACCGAACTCCATTTGATTGATTTGGTCTGACCCCATACATGACCCTACTAACCGTCAAGTTAACGTTCGTCATGGTTGAGTTCACATGTTAATCTTAATTCTCATATTACTAAACTATATAGAGGGCTATATGGAATAGGTCCATTATCCTTATTCATTACTCTATTACTATTTTTGAATATCTTTAAGCTTTCATATGCGTCTAATTTTCTAATATTATTAACTTGCTTAACTAATTTGAGGTTAGTAATATGTGTATTATGATTGTGATTGAACATATGTTCGACTACACACGATTTATCTAACCTACCATATTTTAAATGTGCTATGTGTTCTTTGAACCTTGTTTTTATGGGTCGCCTGGTTTGGCCTATATATGTTTTATCACAATCATTTCAACTTATTTCGTATATTCCCGACTCTTCAAGTGTGTCCACTTTATCTTTCGGATTGCCTAATAAATTGCCCAATTTTGACTCAGACTGATAAACGCTTTCAAATCCTAAGTCTTTGAAAACCTTATCAAGTCTCTTCGTATTCTTGGGATTGAAGGGGATTGGAATTCTTCTAGAGTTCTTTTCATACACTTGAAGAGTCGTAGAATTTCGAAGTGTTAACTTAAATTTATGTCTACGTATTAATTTATCTACTATTTTAATATCATAGCCATTGTTGCCAGCCACCAAATAAACAACACTTCTTTCCGCATCGAATCTTTCGTTGCTCAGAAGGAAAGAAATTAATCTATGTAATAGAAAATTTAAACTTGCCATTTTGTGTTGAAGACAGTGATTGGAGTCATTAGGTATGTATCCAAATGTGTTAGTTTCAAAAGGTCAAAGGTTCGAATCTGACCGAAGATGAAATCCTTATATCATTTGATGTCTCATCACTCTTTCCAAGTGTACTTATACCAACAACTTTGGAATATTCAATTGAATTTACTCGAATATAACAACCTAGATCCAGAAAATATTAAAGAATTGGTTGATCTCACTAACCTCAGTATGAGCCAACATATTTTTCGATATAAACAAGAATTTTTTGAACAACATGAAGGTACAGCTATGGGAAATTGTTAATCACCTTTCCTGGCTGAACTGTTCATGAACCGATTTGAAACGAAGGCAAAAGAAAAATTCGAGTATTTCCCTAGGGTTTGGATTCGATATGTCGATGATATTTTCGCTATTTTTGATACAAAAACCACAGACATAGATAACTTTATTTCGAAATTAAATAACTGGTTTCCCTCCAACAAATTCACTTATGAATGCGAAAATGATGGAAAATTACCTTTCTTAGATGTACTTCTGATCAAAAATAGCGAAAACAACTTAGGATTTGATGTTTTTAGAAAAGAAACTAACACATCTAGATACCTACCTAATGGCAAAATGGCAAGTTAAAATTTTCTAGTACATAGAGTCATTCCCTCTGAGCAAAGAAAGATTTGATACTGAAAGAAGTTTTGTTTATAAAGTGGCTGGCGTCAACGGCTATGATATCGAAATAGTAGATATATTGAAACGTAGACATATATTTAAGTTAACACTTCGCAATTCTACGACTTTTCAAGTGGATAAAAAGAACTCTAGAAGAATCCCAATCCCGTTCGATCCCAAGTATACTGTCAAGAAGTACAAATGTCTATGAAATAACTTTCGTTCGTTTCAAGATCTTCTATCATTAATTAACTTTTCCAAATTAAAACATTCAGTACATTGCAGTTCGATCAGGCCAGCGGAGTTCATAGACATCATTTCCTTTATAATTTGCAAAGAAATCGCTTACCGCGGCGATAATACCTAGGTAAGCGGTATCGAAAAGCTATCGACCGTTCCCCGTGTGGAAAATAGCGAACCTAGCATCGATTCCGAATATAAATAGATTCCGAATCGATAAGCCATGCATTACTATTCATTACTGATTTTTGATGATTATTGATCATCCATTTCTCGATTACTGATCATTACTGATTATTGATTATTACTATTCAATTACTGATTTTTTCATTATTATTGATTCATTATTATATACTGATTATTCATTACTGATTACTAATTCATTACTATTATAATGCATTTCGATAACACTTTACTTGATTCCGTAATTGAGTTACTTATTCACGAGTTGCTGCCAAAATGTGTACCGTCTTCCCGACTTTGATCCTGCTGGTCAACCCCATCATGTAAGTACTGTTTTTTCCATGTTCTGAATGATTGTTTCGTGTTGTGTTCCGTTTGGTTATTTTCTATGGTTTGCCTCTGCTACTTTTCCATGTGGCAGGCATTTATTCACGACTTTCCCATTTAAATCAATAAATGTTAATTATATACGAAAACTATCTTGACTCTTCATTTGGGGATGAATATGGTTGGGTGGTGAAATGATCGAAATCCTCTCATTAAGCCAAGCGAGTAGCCAAGTTACGATCCATAGGAGGTCGAACATCTGAGTTGCGACATGTGGTGGACACGCCGTTTGCCAAATAATCTACCAAAACCATCTGAGTTGCGACACGTGGTGGAGGCGCCTTGCTCCTTCCTACAGATTAACTCTCCATAGTTAATCTATTAAGTTCGTTCTGATTTGTGATCAATTTTCGTTATTCCAGTCAATTTTGTGTTTTATAAAGCTATTATACCCATCCAACCACGATTCATCTCAAAATATGAAGTTTTCGTAAATTCAATGATCTATTTCAATAATTACTTTTTCAATACTTGCTTTCAATTAACTTTCAACTCAACTTTTTTCCTATTATCAGACCATAGATTCTCTTGAATTTTCTGAATAACCAATTTTCTTTTTTTTTATCCATTGATGCGTAACTTGAAAAGGCAAAATAATAATGATATAATTCATACAACCATGCACCATTGTTTTTGAAAATTCTGGGATATTTTGCTATTATGGTATAATAAGTGGTTTAGAAAAGTATTCTCTGGTGATAATTTGTGTATTTCATTTCATTTTACGGGGTGTGTTTCTACGAAGTTTCTGGAAAACATTAAATATTTTAATTTTGGTTTTAGATAAGTAAGTTATATAAAGCAATTTTTCTTATTAAGTGGGGTATTCGAGAAACTCATTCGATTTTCATGCAGAGATACAGAGCGTTTAGTTTCAGCTATCCATTTATCAGTATAGGTGATATATCATAATTGATTTTTTCAAATATCATATTACGTTGAGAATTATTTTCAACCAAAATGGAGCACAACCCAATTTTTTCTCTCGTTTTTATTGGTATATATATTTTAAGTTGTTTGCGCACTATCAACCCTTATCAACAGAGCATCCAAGTGTACCTAATTATTCAGATTTTTTACTTTTTT